CCGGATGCTGGCTGAGAAAGCTGCCAAGACGACATCAAAAGAGACTTCACCCACTGGCAGTGCGAAATCCCCTCCCGCTATACCAGTTGATGAAGCCCGTCTGGTTTCAAAGGAAGCTCTCGTGAAGCAAAAGAGCAAAGCCCAGACGGAGTTGGCAAGGCAGCGAATTGAAGAACTCAAAAGACAGACTTTGTTGAAGACCCAGAAATTGGCTCAGGCAAATCTGCCACCCGTCCAGTTAGAATCTCCGGCGCCAGCTATTCAACATCCGCTTCCTGTTCGACCTCCTGTGCCCGAATCTCGTCGCTCTGCCGGCCTTCCAGGACTTCTCATGACCGGATTGGAGCAGGAGCCAGATGAAACTTCTGCCTCTGAGCCGGCACATGTGATGGAACCTGACTCAACGCCTATGTCTCGAACTTCCCAACGCAAGCGGCCGCGGGCGTCCGATTTCGATGAGCCAGTTGCACCTCCGAAGAAGCATTTCAACCCGGCTGCGACTCGGTTCGATCCTACTGAGAAACTCATCATTGCGATCAGCGACGATGAATCACTGTATGGCGATGATGAGGATGACAACATGGAGTTGGATTCGAGTCCAGAGCAGGAACCAGTGCCGATAGTGACCTCGACCATTGCGAAGCCTACTAGCCAATCAAATCCTCCTACCACTCGGGCTTCGACAGCTACACCACAAGGACCTTCTACTCTCAATGACCAAGGGGACATTCGACTCAAAGATATGGAAATTCAAGCTATGCGCCGCAAAATTGCAGAGCTGGAACTACGAAGGAAATCAAAGCTCGCTGCCAGCCGAACCCAGTCACCTCGCACCCTGGATGAGTCTGGGGCGTCATCATCATCCGGTGGACAATCCAGCGTGATCGCAGCTACTTCTGAAGAAGGTAACGTTCTTTCGGTCTTTCCTTTCTGTCTGTCTCTTGCTTTTACATGATCATTTTTGGATATTTTCGAGAGAGAATTTTGCGCTTCAACTAACCATTACCCAGATTCTCCAAATACTAGACCGACGACGACCCCCCTGATACGCTTATGCCGGCTGCCCCTGTTTCCCAACTAGACGCATCACCCGAAGGCACTGCCACTCGAGATCTGATTGAAGAAGCCCATGCTGAGGAAGTGGCAGACGGTGTAATCGATAGCACAGCACAGGCATCGGCTTCGTTCGAGTCCGATTCAGCTGGGTCGGCTATGCAAGAATCTGATGACAGCAGCAGTGATAATTCCGATTCGTCCAGCGAGAGTGAGGATGAACCTGCTACTTCACCAGCGCAAGCGGATATCGATCCTACTACTGTGCCGTCATTCTCAGAGCCCATGGAGATCGACTCTTCAGAGCGATCGACGTCTCGAAGCTCGCCCTCTGCCATCACCCATCCTAGTGCAGCTTCTGCCGACGAATATGTTTCTCAACACCACCTTAGCGAACAATCTCAGCGTGAAGAGTCTGCGGAATCCGACGGTTATGAGCCCCCAGAGCCTGATGCTGAATCACAGTCTGAAGGCTCCAGTTACAGCCCTCCTCCATTCAGCCCAGCTCTTTCCGGTCTCGTAGAAAACACGGCAGTCTCGGCACCATCATTTGACTTGACTCAAGCTGATGAAGAACTAACCAGCACGCCTCAGATGTCAGACCCATTACCTCGGTCGGGCTTTCAGGTTGGCGCTCCTGGCGTATGAACACTACCCCCTTTCAGAGGAAGTTTCTGGTGACCCCATACTAACCCCTATCTAGACAGAAGCATCGCCCGCTATTTCGGAGCCAAGATTCACGCCGTACACCAGCCCACTGCGGACTTTCAAGGCTTATCGCTACCACCCGCATTATGCCGAAGACGTTCCGAGTGGCTACCGCTCGCTAACTTACAGTCATAATATCGATTCTATGAAATACATGTGTCCATATGAGCTGGCCGGGGGTGTCTGCAATGACCGATCCTGCGAGTTTCAGCATCTTCGAGACATGACTCTAAGCGGTGCGTCGACATGAACAACGTGCAACACCCCACCTCGTCCTCGAGCTCCCCCACCGGCGTATTGCACTATCTAGTCTGTTTCTACTTTCTGTTTATTGCTCTACTGCCTTAGTCTCTTGCCTCTTCTTCCTTTCTTTCCAACTCGTTTGCCATCTCCTTTTTTTTTTTTTGCCCTGTTCGAATGCTGACCACAGAGCCGTTAACCTCGACAGACGACAAGATTCTCGTCCAGATGGGCTCTGTCCGAGAGGGTCAAACCGAAGAAGAAAAAGAAAAATATCTCGCTGGTCTGAAAGAGATCATCAACGACTTACGGCGTGACAAGGTGAAAGATTTCAACACTGTGGCCTCTGAGATAGCCGCATACCGTAGGCGCTTCCTCCAAGACCCGTCGCGTGTCTTGTCCCTGTAACATTCTCCCTCATTCATTGGACCCTTTAAGAGTCCTCTCCAGGTGAGCTGTCTTCCATCAGTCTTGTGAACACCGACGTCGAAAGAACTTCGATGGCGGGGGAAAAACATCATCATCGCACCACATGGACTCAGACAACCCTCATCATGGCCATGATGCCATCCATTTTTCAATACAATATCCCATGCCACCACCTCTTTTCAACCCTCTCGCGTTCATGACCTGGTTTTCCTCTGCATCATTAGCCGATTCGGCGTTTTCTTCCCTGCATTCCAATTGCATTTGATGTGCACGATTGGGGGCCTCGCGCTCTTTGGGTCCTTTTTCTTCTTTTTTTCTTTGTTGAATCTAGGCTCTGGGCCTTTCATTGCCTAGTGACCCGACAAAATGGTGTTGGGGCGTCTGCGTCTCGGCTGCTGGTCGTAACATTGGCAGTTTCGGCAGTTTCAGCTCTGGGGGAGCTCTGGCTCTCCTGCTAATCTGCACACTGAAGGGTGCGGTTGTACCATTAGAATCCCAGCGGGTTTTCACAGAAAACATCCATAGCAATCAGTGAATGTGTATTTTTTTTTTCCTATCCAACTATTGGTCTCTTTCGATCTTTCGTAGTAGCGAAATAAGCACCAATTGTCTTGTATCTTGCTTGGATTATGGATAGGTTCTGACTCAATCCATCTGACCTTCAGAGATACACCATGTGAATTTGAAAAACACGCTAAAACCATTGACTCATTCATGCGTAGCTAAGGAATAGAATAGGCCAGAAAATAAAATAAAATATTACTCTTGACAAAGTCCTACCTGCAAAGAGATTAGTTAGCCCCCAAACGTGCTAGATACATATTTTCAGCTGTGACCATCTAAGCTGAGAAATGCAGCTTGAAAAAAGAAGTCAAATCTTAAATACAAGCCTAGACCGAAGACAAGAAAAAGACTCACTTATTCCCATAACAAAGTACGAAGTAAGAAGAAAGAAGATGTGGGTTCCTGCGGCTAGTTAGTGGATGCTAAGTATAGCGTGCAGAGTCGGGGAGATGGGGGCCAGGGTTGGTGTGACTGTTTCAAGAAGACTCAGAAATTCAAAGATAATAATAGTAAAGTAATAGAGTACATACGGTGAGTTTTGTGACTTTTAATATTATTTCGGCTAATCAAAGATACAATGTAAATATGACATTTTTCCTATTGTCGAAGCATATCTATACGAGTTGAGTCAGGGCAAGGCAGACCAGCGGACCAATGTCTTGGATTTGATAGACTCTTGCTGATTGGTCCGGGGATTCCTCGCATTCGGTTACATATGTTCCTCCCCTTCCAAGGTTGTATTGATGTTTTGTATGGAGTATAATCGTAGGTCCATATAGCCATAATAGAACAGCCATGCCAGAGATAGATCCCGCGCCCAGCGCCCGAGGAAACAGCCAAGGAAAATACTAACGTGGAAAATGAGTTGAGGATATGGTAGTAATTTGCGTTTACGCGAATTTACACGGGAGTTTCAGGTGATGGGACGACAAGCGCGCACGTACAAGGTACAACAGAGGAAAACCCAAAAGGAAAACCCGGGGCGCACAGTCCAGCACAGCCCCAAAGTCCAAACTAGAAGTGCCCAGGTGGGGGGCTACTACAATGACATACATAGTTGGGAGACGGGATAAACGGGATATGGAGAAATGGAGAAATGGAGAAATGGGAATAACATCATAGAACATGAGGGGGCTGAGTCGAGGTCAGAGTAAGAAAATCAGCCGTAAATAGGTGAAGTCTAAAGAGTCACAAAGGTAAAAAGATCGAGGTCAAAGAGAAGCGGAGCACAAGGATTAATAGATATCGTCCGTGTTAGCTTCCGAGTACCAAGACCGCTTTTTTCAGTATGGGCCATAGGGCTGTTTGCTGCAGATGTCCGAGTAAAGGAGCGGTAACAAGAACAGGAGAAGCAGACTAGTTCATCTTGGCTTGCATACAGAGGACATCACTCAGCATAGCGGGGTCCATATTTGGATGAGCCGCAAATTATTCCAACCAACCATGATACTTGAGATCAAGCCCATGAGGCTCAGAGCAGGGGGGGAAGGGGTTGCTGCATACCTTGAAGATCAAGATGACTCTACTCTGTACTTCTTGGCGCATAAACGAGATAGAGTGATAGTAATAATAGTAATAACCATAATATTCATTCCATAAACAAAAAAAAAAGAAGAAGCATAAAGAAAACATATCAAAATGAAAATGAGATTGAAAATGAAAATGGAAAATCAAATGGCCAAGGCAGACAGAAGGGGAATCCAGCCCCGCTGGCCTTGCGCTAAACCAAATCAAGAAATCGCAAGTATACAAAATTCTAGTCTAAACACCATACCATATATGCTCATGACCCATAACCCGCTTTGCATAGCAAATAAAAAAAGCATTCCAGGAATAAAGAAAAAGGAAAAATCGCGAAAAGGAAAAAAAAAGTAAACAGTAGAGTTCGGAATCACTATGCCGAACCGTCAGCTTCAAGAACCGAAATGCTGAGTGAGCATCGGAGTGGCTTACCATTGTATTCGTAGTACCCTGTCTCGGCCCGCAAGACGGCGTTTCAAAAAGTCTCACTTGACCTCTTCACAATTGTTGCAAGCTATGTGGTTGCATGACACGCACCGAGGTTGAATGTTGTAGATCTTAGGCCCGTCTCCGCAAGCGCAGCAGATATACATGTAGGTCGGGCTGTTCTGCCTCGTTCCAGGTAGTGAGGTTGACGAGATGCCTGTGCAGTCGGCACGTCGTAAAGGCTGTAGACCGGGAAGCTCTGGTACAACTATGGACATAGCTGTGGTCTTCAAGGTTGGGGTGCGAGGCGAGTGCAATGAGACGGCAGTTGGGTAGGCGGAGATCGGGTTGCTGTCGTGGGAGTGGGAGTGCGAGTGAATGCTCATACTATCGGAGATCTTCTCGTCAACGCAGCGAGCGCAACGAACTCTTCCACACTGAATGCAGGCGTCGTAGAGAGACGAGTTGTGAGGGCCGAAGTGACAACCGCAGCAATACCACAGAGACGCCATTGATGTTATGGGTTGGATAGATTGGATTGATATTATAGACAGGATGGAAGATTTGGTGGAAGACGAGTCGAAGGTCTTTATAGTTGTAGAGCGGGAAGGTCTTGCTGGACTGATAGTTGGATGTGTTGATTGAGTTTGAGGATAGAATTGAATTTCAGCATGGGGGGATCCATGAGAGCTATATACGTGAAGAAACTAGAATAGATGTAATAGAAGCAGAAGCGCAAGGCAGCGTTCCTGGAACAGTCAACAGCCCAGGCTGCCTTGCGACATGAGATCCACATCGTAATTGGCCGAGTTCATTACCCGGGCACACTCATTGGGGCGACGGGGTGAAAGTTGGCCTTAGTCGCACATCACCCGCGAGATGGGTTGCCCAGGGTAGTGGCTTAGTGTAGTCCGGGGCCCTGTCATTGCCCAGAGCACCCCAGTTGTGCTGTGAATCATATTTGAAGACTAGGCGTATTGAGTCAACGGGCCCGGTCCACTATTCTCCAAGGCTAAGCAAATCCTCACACCGTCTCGGAACGCCTGGCTTACCCGGAGAATGTATGTACATCAACGGGTTCTGGTCACTCGGGTGGTCCGAAATAACGGTCTAAATTCTTGAATTCCTTTCGACATTGATGCCTTGGTAAATGAACTCGATCAATTGGTTTCCAAGGTGTACGATATACTCCACTCTTCCCTAGTTTTCCAGGCACCGGCTGCTTCCAAAAGCAAAATAAAGAGTCATTCATGTCATTCAAGTCAGGTGTCCCAAAGTTCCGCGCTCTGAGCAGTGTTGCCTAAGTCACCCAGGCTTTGGTTTCTGACAACCTGAATATGATGGGGAAAAACAAAAAAATTTGTTTCATCGTAAGAAATAACAGATTACGAGATACTGTGAAACTCAACGGCTGATTTCTAATTTAAATTCTCACCCGTGGATCCGCCCGCGGAAATTCCATGCCATGTGCTTTTCTAAGATACTACTATATCGAGAGCTCTATTGAGTACAACCGTAATACCGTCAAGATCTAAAAAGAGTTTAGAGGTGATCTGACATTTGCGAGGCCTTATCTGACGGTCGCAGCTGAGAAAAATCTAGAATGACTAATAGTAGGTCCGACCTTTACGGTGTGAACACGATAGCTGAGGTTGAAGCAGGGCAAGCTGTAACTTCCCTGGGTGTTTTTCAAGGTTCTACCGATGCCCCGATCCTTGGGACCCAAACGGGAGCCCTGGGAACGAACTCCAGGGACACGGGCCTGGGCACCTGGGCAGAGAGTTCCGATTACGTCAGGTTTGCATTGTTTGATTCAACGACCTTCCCTAATTCGATCCGGTCCTGATTACAGTCCTCCCCCCGAACGGGCACGCATTAAAATCCATGCATTTGATATTGCTGTATTGATTCCGTATATATGGCGTCTCCCGCGCAGAAGCGTGCCAACGTCATAGTATCCAGGCTCATTCCGCCTGTGTTACTTGGCGCGGTGGTATACGCTTCCTATGCGGTCACGAAACCATTATGCAGTGAGTTTTCCCTAAATTTGATCAAAGACGTCTTTGCCAGGGAACTAACGATGAGAAACTTAGTCGACTATCTAATTTATCCGTTACCATCCCATAACCGAGACCCTCGAGTCGGCGCTGGCGCCGCCATCATCGCGATCTACTACGTCCTTTTAATCCCCATGGTCGTTTCATATTTGCATCTTTATTACCAAGTCCTGTGGAATCCCGGGTACCTTCCCCTCGGCGAACAAAAACTGGCCGATGACGAGAACGAAAAGCAATCGAAGCGCCGGCGTGGGAAGAAAAGCACGCGCAAACCCGATCCGGAGAAGACAATCCAGGCAGACGCGGATGTGGAGAGAGGCTCGAACTCTACTGCTGTAGGCACCGCAGTTCAGTCAGATATTGTCTTGGAGAGCTTCTACAAAAAAGATGTCTTCGTATGCCAAGCGGATGGCCGCCCCCTGTGGTGCACCACGTGCTGCCAGTACAAGACGGACAGGGCGCACCACTGCCGCGAGTTAGGTCGATGTGTGCGCAAAATGGATCACTTTTGTCCTTGGTATGATACCGACAGCTTTCCGCAAAACCAGTATCCAGCTGACAGAATGCAGGGTTGGAGGCGTGGTGTCTGAGACATCGTTCAAATTCTTCATTCAGTTCGTTGCTTATACTTGCATATTCTGTACCTTTGCTCTTATAGTATCTGCTTATTTTACAGCGGAGATCCGACGCCAGGTGAGACTTCCACAAGCTACCCATACCAAAATCACCAAGAGTCAGTTACTAACCTTTCAACCAGACCGGAGGAGTAAACCCCCATTGGTGTGTCTGCATTGCACTGTAAGTGCCCACACACAGGATATTCGGGAGATCTACCAAGTCTGATAAAAACCACTAGGAGCGGCCTTTTCGCCTTTTTCACCGCCGGAATGACTCTGAGTTCAGTCCAGATGGGCATCTTTAATATCACAACAATTGAAAACCTAAACCGACGCACTGCCCTCTGGACCCTTGCCATCCGTGTCCCAGAACACCTCCTCGAGCGACTCTGGGTAGCCGAGTCCCCCTGGGCTCCGACATTCCGCATGGTCTCCTACCCACTACAAGCACCCTCGACTTCAACCCAATCGCAAACAACAAACCCCTCCTCAGGCGAACGCCACGTCTTCGCCATTCTCCACACTCTGCCGGGCGAGAACCCCTTCGACCTAGGCAGTCCATTGAAGAACATCCAGCAGGTTATGGGATACAATGTCTTCGATTGGCTGTTACCGATCAAGAAAAGCCCGTGTGCCGACCACAGCAGCATGGAGAGTCATTTTGCGCTGGGACCCGTTGTGACCCGCTTGCGGCTGGAGGCTGGACTGGCCCCGCCGCCCGAGAACGGGGCTGTTGTTCCGCAGTCCCCACATTTGGGGCGTAGCCACCGGGAAAATTCTCCTAGCAATCAATAGTTTGGGGCGCTTGCTTCGTGCATGTTTTTGGATACCTTTTATAATTAATGCAATATGCCCCCACTGTATACACTATTGACCTGACCGCGTTAGGGTAATTCATTTTCCGATAGACTGAAGTCCCTCACCGGGCAGTTGAACTGTACGGCTGGATGTCTCGTTATTATGTACAGGTCTCCCGAGGTCGGCACTTCATAGGCCTGCCAGTAGAACGTGTAAGTAAAAAAAAAAAAAGATTTCCTATGGATATTCATAATCGGTTCAGTCATCGTCTATCTCTACCTGCCATAGCGTATCTTTATACATTGGGCTATCCATTGTCACTACATTTGGAATCGGTTCTTCAAATCCTTCAACAATGTAACCAGGTCTCTAGATAGATCAATATTTCTATTGATCATCTATCGCTCTCGAAGATAAAATCACTACTATCCTAGACCGAAGGAGCAGCTATAAGTCTACAGGTGTGATATGGCACCCTCTATATATGTTCTGGATGGGATATATATACCGCAAAGTATTTCGCAATTCTAAACAAATAACTATCTATCTATACTCTTTATATGACTCCCCAATGCCTTGACTTTTGTTTGGGCAGGCATATCGTTCGCATCATCGGTCCTGTGTCCGAACGTTATCCCTAAGATGCACCAATGCCCCATGACAATAAACAAAAGAACCATCAATCAAAAAGAAAATGAAAAAAAAATAAAATAAAAGATAAAAAATGACAACCAAAAAGGAAGAAAAGGAAAGGACTTGCAATAGAGGCAAAGAAATAGAGGAAAGAAAGTAAAACCCGAATATCCCAAACACAAAGTCTATCCTACTCTAGGGAACATTCTCTTTGCCGCAGGAACTGCACTCAGTATGCGAGCAAATCGGACACCTGTACTCCGGCGCTAGATCAGGATTGACCAAATTGTTGCATCCGCAGCATCTCACCCATAGTACCGCCAGTCTTGGGGCTCCGGTAGACAGGTAGTCGGGCGTGGGCGCGAGCGTAGGTATGACATCCGGGAACGGAGCCAGAGTTGAGTGTGCACGATACATCAGCGGGCTGCTCATGACATCGGCATAAGAGGAATTGTTAAGCTGGAGCAAGCGCCAGCCATACGGAAGAGGAGTTAAATTCCGTCCCTCGCTGTCGGCCTCAATGTCCGAGGTATTGTTGGCATTGAACATGGAGTTTGACATGGCGTAGAAAGACAGTCAGGTGAAGTGTCAACTGGATAAACCGATTGATAGGGAGGATGGTTTGATCTGTGATATCTTGATCGTGGAGATCCTGAAGCTTTTGAATGTGGACTGAAGGATTGGAACTATCAATATAGTTGTATGAGGCCGAAGTCTGATTGTATGAAGCACTGTGAGAACACCGCAAAACCAGCCATGGACGAGGCTATCTTTATATCACAAAACCGACACACAGGCACCCATAATCAGGGCTCCCATCACAGCACCGAAAGCCCAAGTATAGAAGCCCGGTCGAAACCCAAGGTGAACAGGTGCGACTCAGAGAGCCAAACAACGACAACAGAGTCGAAACCCCAAACATAGGGAGCAGGATACCCAGCGGGTAATTTGGCACAGCGAACAGCAGCCAGCAGTGCTTAAGCAGCGGTGAAGTGAACGCGAAATTGATCAGTCAGAGAGAGAAACAACGTGGCACACCCATGTATTTGATGCCGACATATTCACCCGCGACCCGGGTCTTGATCGGCCAGAACTGCGCCTAGTAACCGACGACCTGGGCATCGGGATATGGTAATTTGCGATGGGACCGGGGATACTAGAGATCCAGAAGCTCTAGTCATTAGCGCTGGAGTTAGTGACTGGGAACCTATCGTCTTCGGGAGGTGATCGAGCCATGGTGGAGATTGTAGGCGTATTGCCCTCCTTCCACTTGAGGCGGGCCATCTATATTGAATGTAGGGCTTCTATTACTGGGTGGCCTAGTGGAGTCATATTCGGTACTCAAACAGGCGGGTTATTAGTTCCAGTGGCCTGGGTTTTTGGTTTGGGCGGGTTTCTTCTGCAGAGTCTGCGCCTCGGTTTGGGCATCTGGCTCCAATCCTTTCCCGCGGGTGCGAGGGTGAATCTGCTCAGTAGCTCTTGTTGGTTTCTTTGATTGTTGTGGGTAAAATATGCCAAAGACAGTATCCATGTAGTGCCCGCTGTTCCTGGGAATAATAAATGCACCAATAGGTGGTCCAGGTTGTGTATAACCTTGCTGCGGGCAATGTGGTGGTTAGGGGTGTGGTGAGGTTCGTACTTCGTAGAGGGCACTTTCTATGAGATTACCTTTTCGTGGCTACGTATTTTGTAGTATTAAGGTACCTATGTACTTGATTTCTCTGTCACTTCTTGGCGTTCTCTTTCTGTATTCACTGAGTAGAAAGTAGAACTGACCTCGGGAGCTGGACCTGTGGGACGCCTCTGAGTATTACATAATCACCAGGTTCCCGACCTCAGGTCGCTCACCACCTGGGCAACCTGATCGTTACAAAAGCTGGATGACTCCAAGGCTCGCTCACTGAGCAGCCTGATCTTACTCACTGAGCATCTGAGCAGCCTTATCCACTTACTGAGGGACCTGATCAAAACGCGGGAGCAGCTAAATTAATAGCATACGTCAAAATAATGACCATGCTAGCCCTATCCAGGACCAAGTGCGGTTGTTCACTAACTAAAGCTCTTGACTAAAATCCACTAAGATCTTAGGGAGAACAGATCCTAGCTTGATTTCCCGGTCTAATTACACGTACTAAGACCTGTTTTATTACATATGCTCTTTTTATTATTTACCCAAACGTAAATAGTATGCTTCCCCCGATTGAGTTAGACCAATAATAGCCCCTTCCATGCAAGTGAGCTTGATCCGCGACGCCTGTTCAATTGTTAGACATCTATATAGACCAATGACTGTGAGATATCCAAGCCTTTTAAAAATCTTGGTCCAAATGTTACTTATTTGAAATTTATATGGTGCAATAGTACATACTCCTTCAGAAACTTTTTCAGAAGGTCCCAGGAGTACGGCACCTGAAAGGACCAGTTTGAAGATTCCCCGAATACGTATGGAAGCGAGTCCTCGCCCCTTCTGTCACTGATAAGACCACCAACTCGGCAGCAAAGACGACCATCTTTACCTATGGGCTAGACTCGGAAGGGAATTGGGTGGCAGTGTTGTTTGGGCAGACCAAGAATGGGGACCTGGAGGTCGTGCCTCCTCCATTCAAGACGCCGAGATGCAGAAGGGAACACAGTGCCGGTGGATGACACGGTCTATCGAGAAGCCCTGGATCGACAGCAGTGGACTTGCATCTGCCAGTCAAAACTCACAACAACCACTCGGAAGGTCGACGATACCAACACGACGTACGTGGCATCTGCCGCTTTCCAGATAACGCAAGGAAAAAGCAAAAGCACTCATAGCGTCTGATTCGACCATCCATCTGAGAACCATCAGTGATAGCAACAGCACCTGGATGCTGAGCCTGGAGACCTTGGACCCAGCCCCGTTCTACTACAGCCAAGCGGAATGGACCCTGTCAACCGAAAGTCGCGATGAGTAAAATCGGGTCCACTTCAAGCGGCCAACATCTTTCTCTCTCAAGTGGTCCATCACACCCAGCCTTCCCTCTTTTTTGACACTCGTTGAATCCGGCGATGATGCCGGCACTGTCCAGCAAGTGACTGAAATTGCTCCTATCATAAAGCGTTAGTTTTTACCTTATAGACCAGCATCGAGATCGCTGATAATCACCGCCCTCGATGCTAGTAATCCACCCGTTGGCGAATGGTTAGAAGAACCTAAGAGAGTCCTCTGCCCTGAGAGGGCATATCAGGATCTCGACGATTTTATGGCTGACACGCTGGCCTTCTTCTAATCGCTCCAAAGGTCTTCTCTCCCTATGAACGAGCACTACAAATAGGAAAGGGAGCTATAGATCGGATTCGGACTATCTGAGCTAGTGGAGTTCTTCAGGCTCCCTTACCCTTTACGGCCTCTAGGAATCTATCTTCTTTAGCTGGCATTGGAATAAAGGCCCTCCCGTCCAGAGCGGGGACCCGTGTAGTTAGTTATCTTAACACCGCAAGGGCTTTTATCACGTAGGCTATATACAACAGCGATGATCGTTTCAAGGTAAGCAAGCCAGCTCAGTCCTATTTAATACTAATGGGTGGATAGCACAATTACGAAAGCTGTCTAAACAATAGATGGCTTCAATACCAAATTCTGGGATACGAACGCCGATCGATTTATCGAGTTGCTAAAATGGGATGGCAGTAAATCTACCACGGGAGGCTTATGCTCGCTGGACGAATACGAACAGTACATCATATCTCTATACTGGATCGCCGGAAAAGCAGCCCCTCAAGCTAGCGGTAAATAGAGCAACCCGAGTCTAGAAATATTCTAACATTTCCTTAAACTATCCGTCTTAGGAGCCAGCGACACAATTATCTAGTCTATCTATACCACCCTTACTATACTTAGCGAAGCCTCCCTATAGTCAATCGACCCCAGTGCCTTCAACGACATTACCCCCGACAGATGGAAGTCTTATCGGGCGTACCTTATTCCTAATAAGATCAATACAGGGGACTTCAAAATCTCCGTAGGCCAGACGTTTGGATATTAGCAATTGAATGCCGACTACAGGAGTACAGCGTATGCGGATCGTGATCTCCTGAAGGATGCAGGGTATTACAAGTAAGGTTTTCCTGTCTTTAGTTGATTAGAAATACGAGTGATTTATTTCTTCTTTCGATATATCTAGTGTTGTAACCGTCCTTCTGTACCTCAATACCCTGGCCGTAAATCTAAATACTTATCTAGGTCTAAATATCATCAAGTCCGAGATGCCGAGGCTATGCACTCCAAGCGAGTGGCTCAAGTATTCAGGGATTCCTATAAACAATGGCAACCTCATCCGTGGTAGGAAATGAAGCAATTTAACAATAAAAAATGCATTTCTATATAAAAGCCAAGCAGAGATTAGTTAAAGACGTTAATTTCTCTGATACCTAAGAGTTTAATAGTTACCCGTACATATAAATGATAAGCCACCTTACTGTCTTACCTCGGCCTTGATAACAACACGGTGATACTTTGGGCCATTAGAACCTCGGCTTAGAAATGTGACATCTAACATCTATGATTTCCTTCATGGGCAAGTCTTCCTATTTCCAGTGAATCGATGGTAAGAGGACTTGGTTTCTAGGAGCAGTTAGACGTTGTAGAACCAAAGAATAAAAAGCTCCGTAAGAGACTCACATCATGGCAAAGGTATACCCCTGCTTCTCCCAAGTAGCAACGATTGAGCAACCGCTCTTATAATCATAGAGAAGGATCTTTTCTAAAGGTAGTTGATTGGAAGGATTTCGGATTTTTGGATGTTGTTTTCACTTGACAGGCATTTAATATGTCTTTTCTCATGCCTTGATATTAGCCAAATAGTTTATTCTTGAACCTGGGAATATTCACCGTCATAAGGGCACCTAGCCTTAAAATATCTGGTAAAGCGCCGATGAACACAGTAAGAATTTCCCAGTGCATTGCTACTAGATGTCATTTCTGTTGTAAATGCCTATAGCTACCTATGTACTTGATTTCCTCCGCCATTTCTTGGACTTCCCTTTCCGTTATAGTACTTAGACCTTGCCGCTTTTGCTCACTGAGTATCATATAAGCACTTAGATCTGCCCGGGTGCTCAGGAGTCAGGACTAAGTTATATCAACGTTTTGAGTGGGTGGATTCTAAATTTACCCCAAACGACACTAATTTTCCCCTTCATGCGGCTCAAGTGATATCACAAACCTTGGAACCCACCGGGGCACATATCTCGGTACCTATATGGCTTCCAAGGCTTACCCGGGCGAAACAAAAATGAAGGATTCTTGACCGCCTGTCGGGGGAGTGTTACGCATATGAAGTAAGGGAGTTTCATAGTTAAAAGAGCGGGAACAACGCATGGCATCCACGGTTGACAGCTTTGAGTTCCCAAGGTTCATATTCTCTGGATCCATGGAAATCATATTTATATACATTTATATACATTTATTTAGTAATTGTGTTCTTTGTGTTCTTTGTGTTCTCTTCCATTTCAGAAGCTGTCTACTTCCTTCCTAAAGCCCTGGAGAGAACCTTGACTGAATAATCAATCATCAGTGGGAAAATCCCTTGGCATTTCTTACTAACCTTTGGTCCAACCCCCAACCCACCTTTGCGTCATTGTTCACACCTTTCGTTTCAACACATTTCTGAATCCCTTCCTTCATTGTTGAGTTGGGCAACTATTGGGCTCCGGGATTCGTGTCAATTTCGGCTCCGATTTTCTCGACTTTTGACCGAATCCTCGCCTTCGAGTCAAACCGACCAGGTTGGGCATTTCTACATAACCCGACTCGGATTGTTAAATAGTCATCTCCCGAAGCCGACCGGAGAAGACTGTTACACCTGATTTCAACCGATCAGGCTTTATCATTATCTACATCCGTCGCATCTTCAGATCTCAAAATGTCGAGTCACTACCGAAATCTGTCTCCCAGCCGAGCTCGACACTCCATGATTGACCCCATGAGAGCGTCAACCGGCATGGTAGAACTAAACTCCTCCTACGACCCTTATGATGCACCAAGGCGTTACGATTTTGCCGACTACCCATCCGATACTGGATACGCCAGTGCTTTTGGGTACCGCTCAGGGCGACCATCAAAACTCGAGGCCCACCAAATATCGTCTCATCGAGTCCGTGATCCGACTGCATCCGCCAAAAAAACGCACCGAATACAGCGTCCAGCCTCGCACCAGACACAGAAGCAACACATCAACACAAGCCGACTACGAGACGCCAGTACGTCTGGCTGTACCTCCCACATCCCGTCAACATCTCTCGCCCGTGCACCACTCAATTCACCGCCGTACCCCGAGCCCTCTTCATACAGATTCCGGCCATCATATAACCCCTGCTTCCTCTCGACACCCCGCCCATCGCCGAATCTACAGCACTGACTATGCGAGCGATACGGGCCATATCGGCCCACGGAATGATGCCAGACACAGGACTGATCACAGTGCACATCAATACCGTGTCCACCCGCCCCCTCGCTCACCGCGCTATCCAGCGTATGACGGACTGAGGAAAGGCGATGACATAGATGACTTTGACGCATATTCATACACCAATGCCCGTGAGCAATTCGACCGGGACTACCCTGTCAAGCCGCGCCATCGCGGGCCGAGATATTCTGTCGATCGGCCGCTCAGTAACACTGGCGTGGAAGAAACCCCCCAATGGGCAACACGAAAAGACCGTCCTCATGGCCCACCCCCAACATCCTGGGGCCTTGACAAGCTTGGGCGTGAACGGCCACGAAGCTCAGCGTATGGCCAAGATGACCATCGGGACCCACATAGATCGAATGATGGATTCCATGATCAAGCCCTGGTTGCCGTACCTCAAGACTCTGACGCTGAATACCCCTCCCGACGTGACGAGCGTCGCCGCCGCCGTGCCCACGGAGCGCGCCACGCGAACGATCGGGAGCACCGCTATCCAGAAGACCATCACCCCAAACCACATGACGTCGGCGCGCTCGCTAATATAGGACTTGGAACTGCGGCCTTGGGAGGCGGATACTCTGACATGTCGGACTACGATAACCACCGTCCGTCACAACGCAAGCACAGACGGCCACACGGCGAACATGACCACGATGCCCAGCCCTTATCGCGTGAGCTGGTAGAAGCAGCTCCAGCCAATGAAAGAACCAAGCAAGCTTACTTGGACCCTGCCGATGCCCGTCGCCACGGTCGATCGCGGCGACACTCTAGGCGGCGGACGCACATCGATGATGCCGACACGTCAGATGAAGACCTGCGAAACTACAGACGTGAGCCCGCACGTCGCAGGCACAGCAGCACCGACACCGAGAGCGACCGTGACCGGGACCGCAGTCGGGACCGCTCGCACCACAGGCGAGACCGCGACCATTCGCGTGGATACCGATTTTCTCGCTCCCACCGCATGCTGGAGGATGATCACGCCATTGACTCGCGACGATCGCCCCCGGTCGACAAGGCCAAAGATGACCCCCGAAGACTTATTGCTGTCGAGCCAGCTGCTCCAAAGGAGCCCGATGCTCCTCCCAAGGGAATCCTCAAGGCTCCGCGCCCGGCCTTCCCAGAGGAGCCCAATCCAGTGAGAGAGGGGGTCGCTCCCCTCAAAGATGCCCATAAGCAAGGGATCCCACCGGGAGCTCGCTGGACGAAGATCGACCGGCGGCTTGTGAATCCGGAGGCATTGGAAGCGGGCAATGAACGGTTCGAGGAGCGGTCGGATTATGTGATTGTGTTGAGGGTTTTGAGCAAGGAGGAGATCCAGCAGTATGCTGTCAAGACACAGGAGATCAGAGGTAAGTCACGGTGTTGTGTATATCCCCTAGTCACATTTGAAGTAGAATATTCACAATTGAGTTGCATAGATACTCGACACAAGGAACAGCTGCGCGAGAGACGCAAGTCTAGGGATGAGACTCAACGCCACGGCCGCCGGGGCGAGGAGTCTTCCAGCGACGACGAGGACGAGGGCGAGGAAGAGCCCTGGAAGCAGCTCGAAGCGGCCGCTGCACCACCCGCACAGAAGATGTCCTTGCCGTCGCGTCCACGCGCGTCGACCAACTCAATGCATGAGGCTGAACGGCCTAGGATGAGCAATCCGGCTGCTGCGCCGGTATAGGAGATCTTTCAATGTCTCGAGATTTGGATATGCCTCGCAGGGCGCCGAAGTAGCATCGGCCCGCTGAAACCATAATGGCGTTCGCCAAGTGTGCAGGGGCGAGGAAACCGTCGGTTCTCAAGTTAGCTCTAACAAATGTGACTAATGCATCTATCCTTCTGGGGACGAAGACCATGCGACAAGCCCCTGCAGACAAAAAGCAAGCACCCGTCCTATTTACGCGCCTCCCAAGGTCCTCGGTACAAACAAACCCATCTCAGACTCAAGTCGTGTCTTTTTCCTCTTCCGGTTTATACCAACTTACACCGCATCCACACCAATCCATGGTTGCGTTGTATGCACTCAGTACGGAGTACGCACCTGTCATATTGCTTGACAGGACGTCGAAGATCAACAACGCCTACACATGCAGCGCAACACGCTGGATTCTTTCCGACCCAATCAGGCCCCAGCGGCTTTAATTGCGGAACCCAACGATGATCAGTTGCTAGGCCACCCGCGCTCGCATCCACAGTCATCCGATATTAGACCAGATACAACGAACGCGAGTCAAACTCCGGGTGGTGCGGCTCATTGGATGAACTCGCCGTGACATTTTCTTTTTCATGACTCGCATATGTTGCTATCTCAGCTTTTGTGACACTCTTACTTCTGGATCGGTCGATACGATGGGGTCTGCATATGTAGTCGTGTCATTACATTATCTCAATGGAAAGAGGGAAGGGAAGATAGCAGAGTCTGGAGCTGGGTTTCCCCACTTCCGGATGTTTACTTCTGTTGTGGGTGTGTGCATCTGTACCTATGGAGAGCACAAGAGCGCTAAAGGAAAATACATACAAATCAAACGCCCTTCCTAGAAGTGCAGGAGGCGGGAAATGTCAAGAGAAAAAAGCAAATAGGACTTGCCACGACCGCAAACGCAATTGTGTCGGGATGCAATGTTTTCTTTTTTCCATGTTTGCTTGTTTTCTATTTCATACTCCGTAGAATATATACTCCATATTTATGAAGTAGTGTCTGTCTGCCCCAGGAATTATCAAAGAACGCCTAAATCTCAATAATTTTCAATGAAAAAGAAAACAAACTAACCCCACTGGGGAAACAGACTAAAAAAAGTGTATAAATAAAAAAAGGGGGGAAACACTGAGATTCTCGTAGATGCATAAGTGGCTGCAGGTTCTAGACATACGCCACTGGCAAACATTTGGGGGTTTTCTGCGTTGGGAGTCGGGTTCTTGTCGGATTTCGGATTTCACCGATGTTCTTCTAGTGATGGTGGAAATTGACTCATTATAAATTGAGGCTACATCTGTAGATCTCTACCACGGAGGACGGAGTATGGAGTACTTGGAATAAATCCACCCAAGATAATTTGCGTGGAGATTATAACTAGTACTCCGTACAAGAATAGATTAGCTACCCCTCCCCTGTTCGAGGCACGTCCCACCTACTTCCCTTGCTAGCTTGCAATTGCCCGGGTGAAATAGTAGACTAACTAGATAGATATAGGGTGGGATGGACATACCAATAGTTAAGAGACTATAACTAGTTAACTACTACGGAGTACGTGTATAGTGTTACATCACTAGCATCGGTATAGTTTCCAGTGTTGGTTGAGTTGTTTATCATCTTGTTATTCCATACTTTGTATAGTATAGTCGAATCATGGGGAGCAGCTAGTTACCTAAAGAGTTATAGTAGGGTTACAACAGGAGATTTTATTACTTCGGCCCTAGAAGTGGCCCGAGATCACGGCTGGTTACGGAGTATACGTATGTTGTATGTTGTATGCGGCATTTAATATGCCTCATGTAAACCCGAACCAAAGACCCTGAACTAACTACAACATAACTAGTTAACATCACTGCTAGACTGCATACTATACGAAATAACTACTCTGTATGTTGTATACGATATACGATGTATGATTAGTGTGGAGGCCGTGGATGTGAAATCACATCCGATTTGATGATCCAAGCTCTGTGGAGCTAACCGTCCACAGGTTGTCTGTTAATGGACGGCGAGAAAACCCGGGTAGAAGCGAGTCATGGGTGTGGCGAGTGGTGGGCTCCACCTAGACAAAGGAGTTACAATATACGGAGCATAATAGCGTATGATAGTCGACAATATTATAAGCTAACAGCTACCATGGAAATCTAGAAAGTCGATCTCTCCATATGAATCAAAATCAAGGAAGGTGGAGAGAGCTTGTTTGCCGGGTGCTTGACTGTCGGGATGGATCTATTGAATCAGGTTATTAGATTGTACAGGGTACGGAGTACATCCATCCTAGGACAAGGGGACTGTCCAATCTGGTCTCGTTCCCATTAATGATCAATATACATCCAACATACAGTGCTTACCTCCGTTGTGGAGATTAAACCTAAGGGAACGTGCTGATCCTTGACACGATCTTCTTTAACGTCACAATGTGATTTGTAATATTCCTATGCTTGTTTTTGGACAACTCCGTAACTCCGGATTCCCCATGGAGTATTTCCGAATTTGATTAAGATAGTATTAGCTAAACCGTTGCTTTGGGGGTTAAGGAAATTGTTATATTGCATTTACGCCTTCAATGGAGTACAAACAGTCAAGATTGGTTGACTGGAGACAACTATCCCGAACTCGTTGAAGATCGTCGTGGCACATGGGGGCAAAAGCCACAAAAAAAAAGCAAACATAAACGCGCTCACTTGTTGACCCCCCTGCCTCCTCCACTCAACATTTTGACACATCTGACCTTGACCCTCCCGATTGTGTCATTAGATTGTTAATAGGGCCGAGACTGAGTTAGTTACGATCTACCCCGTGGCCCGTACGGAGCAGTGATTCAGTGCTTATCACCAATATCTAGGATTATTATAGGACAAGGGAGTTTTGGTTATTCCCCCGGGGCTGTGACATATGATACATGGGATAGCTCTAATCCTCGATTAAACGGTGCAGTGTGCAGATAGCTCAGTTCATGCGGTATAATTCTTAAGCATATCTAGGACTCCTCCGTATGGTAATTGTCATTCTCGCTATTTCTGCAGCGATCAGCCTCGACAATTTCCGTGTCTTTCAACAGATACCTAGGTAGTAAATGTGAAAACTTTTTAAATTCTGAAACAATTCGCTAACTCCGGCCACGCGACGGGCTACCGCGCCCACATGCATACTCTAACACATTCTTTCCCACATGGGATGGCTCGCAAAGGTTTTTTTTTTTTTTCCTTTTGGTTTGCGGTGAGAACTAACTTTTTGGGTAATTTGACTTTGACTTATGGTTCAGGCTAGAAACCATTTCGAAAGAGTTTGAGGGAACATTCGGTGTGAGAATGTTGAACGCGTGGAAGAGCCGAAAACTTATTATATTAATGGTGACCACATATCGCAGTTACAACTAGGAATCAAATCTGCATGTATTTATGTATATATTTACCATGTTTTCCTGGGTTGAATTTTCTATTGGATGTAAATGATACAATCCTTCCAAGATTGTACAACGTAGCAAATAATATCAGTCGGCCCCCGGGTTATGATCTTTCCCCGATATTCCCCAATTACGGGTTTTAGCGGCTGGGGCCGGCGTACGGAGTAGACCGGTGTGATAACCTTCAATCTGTGCGGGATTTTGGTACAAAGTACTTACCTACTCCGTATGGAGGAGGAGAAATCGAGAAATCGAGAAGCGAGAGAGCTCGGCTAAAATTAATAATATCCCCATCGCACGTTCTGAACTCCGTTCTTCGGATCCGGATGGTGGGGCCGTTCAACGTTTACCTACTTAGGTAATCTATCGCGTCGATGTTCAAGATAATAAGTAACTACAATACAACATACATACATGTACGGAGTACTCCGTTCAGCGTATAGGGAATAAGGTCAGAGAGAGCCGATGTAACATATCCGAGTATGTTCTTTTTGGGGGCGGTTATCATTTCCTCTTCTCGGCACCATCCCGCTTGGTTCAAGGGGGCTATATCTGTCTTAGGGCGATCCGGAGTGCGGAGAATGATTTAATAGTTATATAGTATATATATGTATATATATATATATAGTATTGGGACCCTGAATTGGTTGGCATCAGCTGGGGCTGTAAAGTTTGGAGTGAATCATAGTGATGATAGTGATATACATAAGCATTGATTATATGCTAACTTTTCAAGGATTTGAAGCCGTTGACAGCCCTGGGGCAGATCATTGCAGACCAAGCAGACTAAGCAGGGGCAATATCCGCATGGACGAAAGACCAGGGTATGCCAACTTTAATTTGGGGGCAATTAGATTTCAAATATTTTCAGAAAAAAAAAAAAAAAAAAAAAACTTTGTCAAGAAATTAAATCAAAATAGCCCAACTCACCTCGGCACTAGGGCAGGATTTATGGATCCATGGATGCAGCCAACGTAACGTAACCATAGACTGCCAAGCGACTAAGAATATCAAGACTTCAAGTTGACCTTCCTAGGACTATAGCTCGACCCGCGATCTACTAGATTGTGGCTTATAGCCCCTCAATTGCCCCGTGCCCATTGGCGTACCCATGTATCCATACTCAGGGCCGAGCGTCGATATTGAGCAATCGGACACACCGGCCTCAACATCTTGCCGAGCTCCGATGAAGTATGTTGTATGTATCTCCCCGGAGTTCGGTCTTATCTCCACAGGAAAAATTTCAAATTCAAGCTAGTTCTGGAGGTGAAAGAAGAGAGACAGCTCGCCTGCATCACTGAACCTGCAAGCAGCAAGGGTTACACTAGGCCAACGTGGACGTCGGAAAGTCTGCTTCTTTAAACTTGGGGGGTTTTTTTTTCCATGTTGCTTCTGTCGATCAGAAAACAAAGAATTGACTAAAAGATCACGGTGGACTTCTCCCGGGTATTTTCTATTTTCGGGGTTCAAAAAAACACCCGAATCCAACCTACTCCATATGGGATACGGAGTGCCTGCTTTATTATAGTTTCATAGTTTCAGTAATCAAGTTAAGCGCTTTGAACTATCTTGATATGCATCCGTGGCCAGCAGTAGCTCGAAGTCCTTTTACTGCTTATATTGTAGTTCAAGCCCCTTGATGACAAAGGTGATTGCGAAAAACCTAGCTTCCTCTTACTTGATCGGGGTTAGGGTTTTGGTCTCCCGCATACGAGATAAAAATCTCATATCCAAACGGTGTTTCTCTCTCTCTCTCTATCTCTCTCTTTCGCACAGGCCACCTGGGGTCTTTGTCCGAACATGACGTACGCTCTTATGGATCGACAACAGATCGAGACCGACGGAGACCGACAGGAAAAAAAAAAGAAATTAGTTCCACACGTTGGTGAATTGCTAAGTCGGCAAATACAACATAGAGAGCTTCGCTATGTAAAAAGACCTAACAATGGGCCAGGGTTCTGGACCATTCCAGGTAGTCGATCCGGGGCGGTAGTGGCACTCTTTAGAGCGAAAAAGGGGGCCAGGATTGTCGGTTGATCCGCCCAGGGGTTCTCTGGTTCGTCCCCCCGGTAGCGTCCCCGGTCAGCCCCAGCCACTTTGATCGGTGATACTGTGTGTAACAATTGGTGTCAGGTGGACTCTTCCACTTCGTCTCAGCTTTAGTTGGGATTGAGATGTAAGAAATAAAAGATATAATAAGAAAAAGGGTTGACATACGGAATACAAAATATATCTAAAGTGCCTCATGCCATATTCTATACGGAGTAGTCCGCATAGACCATGTGGGTCACGCTATCACAATTTCTGAAGCTTGGAGACTCCAAAATTATCGTGTGGGACTGCGGGTACGGCTTAACGGAAGACCGCGGGATCATCGATCATACAACTAACGCCAATGATAGTCCTCCGTGGAAATGACACCGTTTTTTTTTTTTCTAGCCCTAATAAATGAAAGAAAAAGAAAAAGAAAAAAGAAAAAGAAAAAGGGGGCCATACAACCGTGCACTCGGATTTTAGCTCCAACCTTCAGGGCTGAGTCTCTACCTATGTTGTAGGTAAGTTCCTGGGAGATTAGGGTGTGCCTCGAACACTCCCGAGGTCAAAATCACCCTACTTGACGATCCATTGGGCAGAACTTCATTGGTGCATTCCCACCCTACGTTTTCCGTGTCTTTGTTGTGTAGCTGAGGAGGAAACTAGTCTGATTCTGGAAGCACTCTACTTTGAAAAAAAAAAAATTTCTTTCTCTTTGTTTTAATTATTATTATCATTATTATTATCGTGCAGGTCTAAACCTCCGAAGTTGGACTCCTGTACGCCCATAATTTCACCTTCATGCAAAGTCACTGCGCAAAAATCGACATGCTTTCATTTTTTCTGTTGATCAAATTACAACGGATACAACGGATATTGTAGACTTACATACAGAGTAGGTGAGAGCCCCATGAGCCGGTTACCCGCCCCAGGGCTATATGAATGATAATAGAAACTTAAATGCTTCGATATCAAACTCACATTGTTGCCATGGACGGTTACCGTTATTACCCCCGAGGATAGTCCAATAACCTCCGAGGATAGTCCATGGGTCTAAAGTCCACTCGGGGATGTCTCCACCCCCGAGGTACAAAGAAGGGTAAGGGTACTCCGTACTCCGTACAAAGGACAAGGGGAAGTATAAAAATTAATTAAATCCAATCGAAAGCCACGACTTAGACCAGGAAAAACGGGTGCCTAGGCACAAATTCTTTTAGCGTTCCAGCCATTTCATATGAAGCACAGGGGCGAAAGACAAAACCATTTGAATCCTTTCAAGTGTCATGCATCGGCCGGTGTCAGAAACCGGAGAAAATTAGGGGAAGGTTGGGGCTTGCATCTCTCTTTTCTTTTTCACTCGCCTTTCTTTCTCTTTCTTTCTTGAACTGATAAAACATAAATGCCAAGATTGACTAAGATGCCACTAGATTAGTTCTGGATAGAGCAAACGCGAGTAGTGGCCCACATCCTTTGGTGGGGTGAATCTTAACTCGATTGGCTATTATTACGACAGAACGATGCTGTTCTCACGTTAGCGTCAAGGAGAAAGAGAGAGAGAGGGACTCGATCGTCCCCTGTTGTTCTGAGATATTAGATGCATATATATCAGTGGTCTTTTTTCGAATGTTCGTACGGAGTACTAGTTCATGGAGATCGACAGGGTTACACGGGTCCCACGAACGCAGAGACCGGCCAAGAAAGAGAAATGGTGATGGGCGCCGTTAGGCTGTTTCGAGTTTATTTGAAGAGCTAGATTTTTTTTTTTTTTTCTTTAGACAATTGGGCCGTGGAAAGAAGCAGCTGAGAGATCGGTGTAACTTACTAGATTTATTAGTACGGAGTACGCGTCTTCAAAATGAGGGGATTTTATTTCCTTTTTATTTCCTTTCCTTTTCTTTTCATTCATTTACTCTTTTCACATATTATTCCGCCGATCTTCGATATACTCCGGCGAGAATTTCTCAGCCCAAGCCGTACCTGAAACTGGCCTCTGCACGATCCGAGGGCAACGTCAACTAGCTTTCTTTTTTAGCCTCGAGTCCATCCCGAGGTCCACACGCTAATCTTCATGGGTCAACATATTCTAGACTTTGTGGGTCATTGGATGTTATGTATTAGATCTTAACATGAGCAAACGGATTCACCCGTAACCTGTTGAGTCTGGGTGCAATGTACCTAGGTATTTTCCTATATTATTTTAGAATCTGTAGGGGCAAACGGCGTAATCACAATCTCAGCTCAAAATCCTAGGTCTCAGAGTTTATTTATTTTCACTTTCCAACACCATACGTTGTATAAAAATATGAATTATGTGGATTACCAACCTCAAGGGACGTATCACGATCACTCCACTAGATCCGAGAAGTCCAAGCCGTTGCGGCAAATCCCTTTTTTGCCCTAACCCTCTGTATATACAACATACAACATAGATTTACGGACTACTCCCCCACTGGAATATGCCGTAGCACATCCTTTCCCCACTTGTCTCTTTGTCTGCACATCATCCCCAAGCGTCTATTTCTTTTCTTTTGGCTAGATGACACATTTAATTTTAAAGAGAGGCTCGGATGTTTACCGGACTCGAGGTAATCTCCTGCGTCCAGGCATCCTGGTCCATTATTATTACACTGTCCCGCTAGTTAGTTACAAGATCCTGATACACTTTGCTCCTGGGAAGTCTTTTTTTTATTTTATCTTTTCATGTTTTTATGTTTTTATGTTTTTATCCATATTGGGCTTTTTATTCCTTTTTAGATTTCCCTATTTTTCCTCTTTCTTTTCGGGGGTTTTTTTTATTCTTTTTTTAATTATTTCTCTCTTCTTTTTTATTATTATTCTTTATATTTTCTCTCTCTTTCTAAAAACCCTTTGATTCTAGCTCTCAGAGGTTTGCGAAGGAAATAAGAATGGAGTCGGGTGCAGCTAGATAAACGACCCTGGACCCTCCACTTGCCTTCACCTTGACACGGCCCCCCTGAACCCCAGTCACTTAGTGTGTCGCGCAGCTTTCTGTTTAGCCTCAGTTCGGGATCGCCCTCGTGGTCTACACCCTTTTTTTAATTTTTTTTAATTTTTTTTCTTTCTCCCAAAAGAAACCCCATCCCAGCTCTCACTTTCTCAATCTTGTACTCTTTCCAAGTTTTGCAAGATTCTGTCTTGGACCGTGAGAGAGGTCGTTCATGACCGGCATGGTACAGCCCGACCTTGGTCCTCCAGCGACGAAGTACAAGGAAGATCCAATTGATGATCCCGTGAGTATCATTTCCATACGTATCTCTTTTCCTTTCGAGTTCCCGTCTACCCTATAGATTTTGTGATACGTTTCCTACTTCAATATCATTCCTATCTTTCTTGGTCCTTTCTATATGTGGTTGCCGGGAGAGCTCTATTACCATTGGGGTTTGCCTTTTCTCTCGAACAATTGGATGTCTATCACGCCTTTGGGGTCAGCCTTCTCTCGATTCTCTGTTTCGTCGACCTGGATCTTGTGCAGGGTGAGCAGCGTTGCGAATCCCTCAATCAGAAAACAGCCGTCAACTCAGCATGCCGAGCTATTGAACCCGACTCTGGTCGATTTGGCATCTACTGGCCATGACTCACGGCAGACTGTCTCATTTGTATACATCTATTCTGGACCCACCAAAGCCCTTGCTCCAACTAGAGCCTCACTTCAACCAAAATGATTTCAATTGAGAGCAACGAAAAAAAAAACATCCCCCATGCCTAAAGTCCGTGTAGCGGATTGGGAGTGATATCTACATGATCCAGCTTTTTGAGTGCTTTGTCCCTCGGAACAAACAAAAAAGAACCCCCACTCGCGATATCAAGGACACACCAACGCTACACAGATCCATGCTATTCTTTGGTCCTGGACGGACTATCCCGGTTATACCCTGGCCCATTTGTTACTCACCTAAGGCCATCCCTGTCCGAGGATTATCATTGATCTGTGGCCCAATCCAACCCCCTCGCCTCCATGATGATGAGATTCTGCATACCTGCAAGATTCAAATTCCCACGCCAGACCGGAGGGGTTCTACGCTGATGTCACTCTGCACACTTATGGCTGTGTTCCCAAGTTTCTTTTTCTTTCTTTCCTACATCCACGTTGTCAGCTTGTAGCACCCTGCATTTTCTGGCTCGAATCTTGCTCGTATCTTTCTAGCAACCTTTAGGGGCTGGCTATTGAAGTCATAGTCACTGATGTTTGTTTCTGCTATAGCTTCGACACGGCAACTCTGGGCGTCCCGGTTCTCAACAGTCTCAGGCATTACAACCTCGATCAAATCTAGCACAGAAGCAAGGCCCCGCCTCGCCTGTTCAGCCCTCTCTTTCTCTTCTTCCTCCTACCACATACCCTCCGCCATCTCATCCATTAAACGGCGTCCTGCACCACCATAATCCCTACGGACCACCACCTCAGGATTCACCCTACTATACCACCAACTCTCCCTATACAACGACCCCGGCGTCGGCACATTACCCTTCTAGTGGTAAGCCCAGTTCTGTTCTTTAGCTGTTGGTGGGGAGTTGTTGGGGTTGAGAAGTGATGCACTGGTGCTTGGCTTTCTTGACGCTCTTCACCATTTAGTTATTTGATTTTAGCTTATCAAAGACATCAGCTAATCCTCAAGGATTAGGGCCACCTGACCTCATGGCATCTACCGCTCAAATGCAGAGACCTTATCCCTCTATTTACCACACCCCTCAATCAAGCTCACCAGCTTCGGTAGCTTCTCAGCCGCATGAACAACATGGCCGCAACATGTATTCCCAATCACCACAGATGCCACCACAGATGTTTGGCTATCCTCCATATTCTCCCATGAACCCAGTTCAGCCCTCGCCATATGGAGCCCACCATTCTCCCCAACAGCATCCGCATCCTATCACAACACAGCCATTGATGATGCCCCCCCCAGAAAGCTCCATCCCAAGGGCCACCACACCATTCCCCCCACCTCCCTACATCCGGCATGTCCAGCAGCCCGATCATGAAACTAGACTCCTCCCAGCACCCCACCACTCCACAACAAACAATGCTGAACCCTCCTCTCACCGCAACCAACAGCCACGCAATGTCCGGCAGCAATCCCCACGCAAGCCCACCACTGGGTGGTACCACCTCCAGCGCAGCGCCAGGCCCCATCCCAGCCACGACCCCGCTAGTGGTGCGACAGGACAGCAACGGTGTGCAGTGGATCGCCTTCGAATATTCCCGAGACCGGGTGAAGATGGAATACACCATTCGGTGTGACGTGGAATCAGTCATCGTGGACACGCTCACGCAAGAATTCAAAACCGAAAACTGTGTGTACCCGCGCGCCTGTTGCAGCAAGGACCAATATCGCGGGAACCGACTGGTCTACGAAACAGAATGCAATGCCGTCGGCTGGGCATTGGCAGATCTGAATCCTGCTCTGAGAGGAAAGCGTGGTTTAATTCAGCGTGCTGTCGATAGCTGGCGCAACAGCAATCAGGACCCGAGACTGCGTAGCAGACGGGTCCGTCGTATGGCGAAAATTAACCGAAGACAGTCGGTTCCCGCTCAATCGACTCATATGGCCCAGCAAGGTCCTGTTGGCCCGCCTGGTCCGCCTCCAGGTATGAGTGCTATGCCGGCTCCTGTACCCCGTCCGAGTTTGGGTCCCATGTCGATGGGCCCGCCGCAGATGCATCATCATCATCAACCTGATGGTAGTCCTAGTGAGGAAGTTAGCGGTATGTTTCACCACATGTGATGTGTTTTGTGCTTTTGTTCCGTCGATATTTTCCTATCCTTTTATTTCTTTTCTTTTACTTTTCAAAGAGGGGCGGGATCACTCATGTATTTTCTTCTTGGGGCTTTTCTTTCTTGTCGGACCGGATCTATGTCTTGTTTGTATGTGTATATGTGGGAGTTTTGTGTCTTGTCTGGTCCGATCTCTGTGTCTGTGTCTGTGTGTGTGTATGTGTGTATGAGGATGTGTCAACGGTTGTATGAGATGTGTACTCTTCTCTCTGTTATATCCCTACCTGATCCGCAGTCCGTGTTCTTATCTGTCTTATTTCATACCCTGTTCAACTTCACTGCTTTGTCGTCCTTTTATCATTTGACACTGCGCATCTTGTGCCTTGGCTCTCCTTTCTTTGGAACTGAACCTCCTTTCCCCGACATGTCAAACATGCATTTGTACAGCGTAGGCTAATTCCCTTTTTCCCCATAGGCACGGAATACCCAGGCCACCGGAGCATGGACACCCGCCTCCCACAACCCTCAATCCCCGACCTCCGCCCCGCCCACATCTTCCATGACACCCCAACAACCCTAACCCCAGGCGGCAGCGCCAGCGGGCCCTCCATACCCCCCTCCTCCGCGACAACAGCCTCACCTCACTAAGCCGCCAAACCATCGCCACCTCAGCCCGCATGGACTCAACCGACCACATCGACGAGCAAGGCCCAACAAACGACGACCTCTTCAGCCATCTCCCGGACGGCAAACGCCGCAAATTCATCCTAGTCGACGATCCGCAGCGCGGCTGTCGTGTCCGTGTCAAGGTCGTCCTCGACAAAGTCAACATGGACGAGATCCCGGATTCCTACCGCGAGTCCAACGCCGTCTATCCGCGCACTTACTTCCCCATCCAGATGCGCGATGAGAACCGCGTCGTGCCCGCTAAGCGGTTCTTCCGCGATGACACCGAGCAAGCGGATGATCCGGAGGCATCGACTATCGGACGCACGACTGTGCCTGCGCCGTCGCTTGACGCCGAGACTGACATCGAGGTGCCGAAGATCTCACGCAGAAAACATCGGAAGGAGTTGATGCTTAATGATCTCGGCTATCGGATGAGTTGGAGTCAGAGTCGTGTGTTTGCGGGACGGATGTTATTTTTACAGCGATCGTGTAAGTGTTTTCTTGGTTTCTTGGTTTCTTGTTTTCGACTTATATAATCCTTTTTTGGGGGGTTGGTACTGTTTCACCTGAACCCATCATCCCATCCCAAACACATGTGCCGCGTGTCCATGGAACAATCCGACTCCAGCTGAGACAAATAAGAGACCCCGCTAACCTTTTGTGAATAGTGGATGCTTATCGCGATAAAATGAGAAATAGTATGCTCGCTGCGGGCCAGGATGCGGGGGATATACCCGATCATTTCGATACTCGTCGTGGCAAGCGACGGTTCCTGGAGCGTGGACGTCGGCTGGAGTCTAGTTCTGAGAATGCTGTGCAGCGGGACGCGGAGGAGGTTGAAGGTTGAAGAGGATATTATTTTTTATTTTTATTGTTTTATCTTTCCTTTTTACTCTTTACTTTTCTTACTTTCTGTGGTTTTGTTGGGAGTTGATTAAATTTGTTTCCGGTCCTTGGTATGTCAGGGCGTTGCGGAAGAAAAAGGAGAAAATTCCAAAAAAAAACAGAAACAAAAGGGATTGGAAGGGATTGGAAGGGATAGGATATGGTCTATAGTGATATGACTCAGATGATACCACGACTTTTATTTTAACGTTGAATGAGATCTATGTGTTTATAACTATCACATGGGACCCTGGAATGTTGAAATTGCTTGAGATATAACACACGTAAGACCAGGACATAGCGGAGTGGGAAAACAAGACACGACACGACTACGAAGACGTATCTCCTTTTTGGGAGGGTGTTGATGTCTTGAACTAGTACCGCTTTATACAACGCCCTAATACATATACTGTAAATTGTTAATACATCAACCTGCCTACATAGTCATGTTGTAGTTATACGCCTTTGGCCACCATACAAATCTAGGTATCTCTATAGGGACTTCTAAAGTGAATTGAATCTGAATTGAAAAGGGCCCTATACGTCTTCATACACGACACAAGTGGAGAGCAAAAGAAAAAGTGATATGAACCTTCATCCTTTTAATTCCTACTGACTGGATTTGGGGCTGGAGGGAGTCGTGGTAGGTTGTGTAGGCTGGCCGTGAATCTGCCGGAGTATTTCCTTGTTCAATCTCGGCAGGTCCTCCTTGACTTGGCTTATCGTCTTTTGGACTGTGAAGGAAATCGCGTTCTGTAAGTACATCGCGGCGCGGTTCCAATCCTCATATGATCCACATCCACCGAAAGCGACAGATTTCACGGGATACGAGTAGAATGTCAAGCCCTGCCTGTCTTCGTTCTGTTCGACCCAGTGAGAAAAGATGGTAAGTGCTTGTTGTGATACTGTGGCCGAATAGGCTTTGATAGTTCGGTCAAATGATCTGTGCGTGGCTTCTTCACCGTTTGCGAGAACCGAAAGCTGTCTTAGGTTGAACAACATGTTTGCTGTGTTATGGCGGTTCTGGGTTTCTACGTCCATTATGCTTCCGCTGTTACCTTTCGCCTTAAGAGCAAAGCATGGGAATATAAGGTCGGGAGTCCTTGAAATTGGCGAAGCAATATCGTCGAGGTGGTGCAGAGCTGGTATATAGTCCATGAACTGGCTTCGATGGAGACCAACAGAGACATCAGGGTACGGTGCTGGGATATTTTTGCAATCAAATTGGATAGGGAGCTGACACTGTTCAAATGGGATGTCCATTACAGCCAGTGTTTCCGGGTTTAATAGCAATCCAATATAATCCATCAAAAGGGGGACAATGCCTCCCTGAATACTTCCCTTATTTCCGATACTCTGAATGATCACGTCGAAGGAATCTAGAGTTCTGCTGGGAAGGTCTTGCCAATGGGCTGGGCGCTTCTCGAGTTGTGCCACCATCATATGGTATTCTGTTGGCTTTCCATCTGATTGATATACACCTCTTGCCATCAACTCACGTACATAATCTGGTGACTTGTAATTGACCGTCGTGGCGGTTGGGGTATTCTCTACCCAGGATAGCTTCTGGCGTTTGCGCCGGGACGCTGGACTGGATGCTGGGGTTCGGACAGATCTTTTGGCTGGGGGTGTTGAGCTTGGTATAGGATCAGACATTTCTTCGTCAAATCGAGGGGGCGACATGGAAGTGGACGATGGTAGGGGGAAATCAAGATATCTCGCTAGTGACCAGTTGCGCTCGCAGAGTGAGAAGTCATATTCAGACATCTTGGGCCGAGAGCCAGATGAAGGAAAGTGCGTGGAAGATGCTTTGAAGAGGAAAGTGGGAAACCATAGAGTGAGTGGAATGCAAGTCACTTGCTACTAATCCTATCTAGGAAATAGGTATACGCCTAGGCACCTACCTAGGTAGGTATAAGCACCTAAATCATGACCAAGGATACCAGCCCTTCTTAAACAGAAACAAAAATAGGTGATTCGTAAGGTCGTGTGAACGATAAGGTATTCCGATTGAATGTGTCCTCGAAAAATAGGCCGGTGCCGATACTGACTTTGAATCGAAAACGTTGACCCTCTTCACAACAGATGAGAAACTTACTGGCTGGTAAAGAGTGTTGATACCGTTTTGAATTTGCTGGTACCGTAAACTTTTGAACTGGTTGATGTTCAATCCGCTTCGCAAGCATCCGGTAGCTGAAGCGACTGAAGTTTGCCCTTCAAAACTCTCTCGAAGACTAAGGTGTTTGATGCTATTGTGGATAGACCTTCTCGTGAGGGGTTTAGATGTGAAGTGATGTTTCCGAATTTGTCGATAGCAATTCTCACTATGATTACCCTTCTGGGAAAAATGTTTCACCTGAACCCATCATCCATCATCCCACACACATGTGCCGCGTGTCCATGGAACAATCCGACTACAGCTGAGACAAATAAGAGATCCCGCTAACCGCTTGCGAATAGTGGATGCTTATATAAAATGAGAAACAGTATGCTTGCTGCGGGCCAGGATGTGGGGGATATACCTGATCATTTCGATACTCGTCGTGGCAAGCGATGGTTCCTAGAGCGTGGACGTGAAGTCTAGTCCTGAGAATGCTATGTAGCGGGACGTGGAGGAGGTTGAAGGTTGAAGATAATAGTATTTTTATTTTTATTTTTATTTTATTTTCCTACTTTTCCTACTTTTCTTACTTTCTGTGGTTTTTGTTGGGAGTTGATTAAATTTGTTTTCGGTCTTTGGTATGTCAGGGCGTTGACGGGTTGCGGAAGAAAAGGAGAAAATCCCAAAACAAAAACGAAAGGGATTGGATATGGTCTATAGTGATATGCCTTAGATGATACCACGACTTTTATTTTAACGTTGAATGAGATCTATGTGTTTAGTTATAACTACATATATGTTATAGGATAAAAGATAAAAATAGCCAAGGGGACACGAATCCACTGAAAAGGTCCCACATGGGACCCTGGAAGACCCTGAAAGGACCCTGGAATGTTGAAATTGCTTGAGATATAACACTACCCAGGTGTACAAGGATAGAATGGGTTAAAATAAAATACATGGATGTTGAATAATATAGTGATTTGTGATTTCCCCCCGTTGTCCCGGTCACGCCCTTATTTATCCCGCTAATGTGTACTTGGGCTTTGATTTGATTCTGATTCTCTCGTTTATTCGTCTCTTTCTATTCGATCTTCCTTTGTCTCAGAAGGGAATTCCTGCATTCAGTCGAAATTATCTGCCTTGGCACCTTCCCTACATTTTTCTCCGTTCGCGTTCGCCGGTGCGTTCGCGGGTTCAACGACTCTCAACTTCTGAACTTTTTATTATTCAAAGTCCGGTCTACACCGGACACCGGTCACTCTCAACTCCCTCAAAATACAAAAAAAAAAAAACAAATGGACATTTCACCACCCTCAACCCGTCGCTATTCCCACAGCTCCCGCGAAAACCACACCATCACACCAGGCATGGACAATCTCGGTCCCAGCTCACCGGGCGGTGGAATCAGCGGAATCGCCCTAGGAATCGCCAATACACACAGTCGCCAAAGTGGTATCGAGGCATCTCACGGCATAAACGACGGATACACTGGCCCCGCCGAGCGCGACTATAACACAACCGGCTCAGACACACCCTACGTCCCCTCAGCAGGCCCTACCAGCGCCGACTCATTTCGTCCCGAACACTCCCACGCATTGAACATGGCGAGAGGCGGCGCACTCGCCTCGCCCGCTATGCAGACGCCTAGTCAATCATCCGGGCATCTGAGCGATCCCGCACATAGCCCATACCAATACCCCACGCCGTATGCGGGTCTCACTGGTGGACCTTATCAGCGACACTCGACCGCGTACAGTAATGGCGAGATGTCGAATATCAACCCCGACGACATCGCCGATGATGGCGAAGAGGACTTTGCTCCCCCCGCGCAACCGGGCTGCGCCTGCTGCGGCCGGCGCGACTGGTGGCGCCGCTGCCGGTGGCCTTCTCACCGGCCTGTTTGGTCGCGAGAAGAATGTCGATGTCGCATATAACTCGGTTCCCGGTGGGGGGTTGGAAGGCGGCGGTGGGGGGAGGTTCGGGGGGGATCAGCGAACAATGGAGTAGACGGACGCAAGAAGATGGGCTGGATTGTCGGTCTTGTTCTTGGGTTTGTGATTCTAGGTGCCATCATCGGTGGTGCCGTGGGTGGTACAATTGGTAATCGGCACAACGAGAACAAGTCGAAGTCGGCCGGTGCGGAAACTGCTACGGATGATGCAACGACTAATGGCGACCTCGACAAGCACTCCTCGGAGATCAAGGCTCTGATGGGTAACAACGATCTCCACAAGGTCTTCCCTGGGATGGACTACACCCCGTGGGGCGTGCAGTACCCGGACTGTGTGAAGTGGCCTCCGTCGCAGAATAATATCACCCGTGACATGGCTGTCCTGTCTCAGTTGACTAATACAGTGCGTCTTTACGGTACCGACTGCAACCAGACTGAAATGGTTCTTCATGCGATCGATCGTCTCGAGCTCAAGGATATTAAACTTTGGCTCGGTGTATGGATTGACTCGAATACCACCTCGACCGAACGACAGATCAAGCACCTCTACAAGCTCCTCGATGATACCAAGGACACATCCATCTATAAGGGTATCATTGTCGGTAACGAGGCCCTCTACCGCGCCGGCGAAAGCAAGCAGTCTGCCCAGAAGACCTTGATCTCGTACATCAAAGACGTCACGAAGGAGGTCAAGAAGCGCAACCTAGATCTATTGATCGCGACCTCCGACCTCGGTGATAACTGGAACGCGGACTTAGTGGATGAAGTGGACGTCGTCATGTCTAACGTCCATCCCTTCTTCGCCGGTGTCAACGTCGACGTTGCTGTTTCATGGACATGGGATTTCTGGCAGTCCCACGACGTCTCCTTGACCAAGGGCACGGACAAGAAGCAGATCATCTCAGAAGTTGGATGGCCCAGTGGCGGCGGCAAGGACTGCGGTGATAGCAAGGTCTGTGACGACGACACGCCTGGTTCTGTCGCCAGTGTCGATAACATGAACACTTTCATGTCCGACTGGATCTGTCCCGCGCTGGAAAATGGAACTGATTATTTCTGGTATGTACTCGCTGCCCACGGCTTCTTCAATCCCCGGCCGTTCATTCAGATTACTAACTCCTAACCCTCTCTACAGGTTCGAGGCCTTTGATGAACCATGGAAAGTCCAGTTCAACACGCCCGGCAAGGAATGGGAGGATAAATGGGGTTTGATGGACTCGGCTCGCAAGCTCAAGAAGGGCCTCAAGATCCCAGACTGTGATGGTAAGACGGCCCCATAAGATGCTGTCAGATTCCGACTGTGGCTGTGGCTGTTTTATGGCATCATGATCATGAAATTTTCTTTTATGTGCATATGTATCATGTTCTTAGTCTTGCTTTTTGTTCTGCACTGGCGTTCGTGTCTCGATTTCCAACACCGTTTCATCACGATCGCAACCCCCGACGATCTCACCTCTCAATGAGTCCTTGCATCTTTCCTCGGATTTACATCTCTTCCATTTCGATTCGAAATCTCGGGGGTCCTCTCTGGCGGTCCATCATCTTTCCTGTCCTTTTTGTCTTTGTGTAGACTTTACACATTCTGCTTGTCTTTGGGCCATGCTTGATTTTTACATTGCATATCTTCTGTTGTTCTATTCATTCCTTTCCTTTCCGTTCCATTTACGAGGAGGGTCTTAGTATCTGTTTGGTGGTGGAATTTTTGTCTTCATGGGATATTAACAGGGATCATTTGCGTGTTTTGCCTTTCATAGCTATACTACATACTAGCTATCCTCTGTCTCAATGTACATAATGGGTCGATTCATCAATTCTGAGTAGGCTTGGGAATACTTATCAAAACTACAAACAAATGTATGCACTAACTTCATTCATTGATCATTATCATTCTGTACCCCTGTACCCTCAAGCAAGCCCTTCAGTGTTATTGTACAAAATATAGCACAAGACAGCAAGAGACAGCAAGAGACAGGAATGAGTAGAGACAATATCAAGAGACAACAATGGAATGGGACCATCAAAAAGAAGGGACCTTCCAGAAAAAAAAAAGAAAAGCGTCCTCAGAAAGATCTTCGGACAAAGAGAGCTATCTCTGTGGGATGAACAAAAAATTGGCTCAAAGAGCACGAAGAGGAAGGAGATGAGAACAGAGCCCCTTGGTTCAGATCCTGGCGGACAACGGGAGCACCCAAGCTAGTACAGTCTGTTTCCGCAGCGGTGCATAGGAGTGTCTCGACCGAAGCCCATTCCTGTTTCCTCCCAGACATGCTTCGTGCCATTCGCAGCCTAGCAAGGGCCGCCTACAGAGACCCGCCAGATTCATCAGGATAAAACCGATCACTTGACAACAGCATCAATATGTTGAATAAAGACCTGAAGCTGAGAGAGTTCAAAAAAGAAAGTTCAAACAAAAGTGTGTGTCCAGAGAACCACGGAGTGCAATGTGGGCCTGGAGGGACCTCGGGTGAGGGATGGAGAAGAAAGAAAGAAGGAGAGAGAGAAATTGGGGGGGGAGGGGGTATTTATACCTTCCCAGTGGCTCAGGCAAACAGGGGAACTGCGGTGGGCGAGTCTCGCCCAAAAGGGAAGGCACCTAATCGGGAAGGTACGCAGGTACTTCAACAGCCTTGGAAGGTGCACATGCGTGTATAATCATGTGAAAGATCATGACATGTGACTTAATCTCAACAGGTCCAAACAATCTCAAGAAAGATCACATTAACGCCAATCCCATGCATACCTAACCTAGTCTATGACCTCTATAACCTCTATAATCCCATGCATCTTATATAACCACAAATATCCAAAATACCAAAAGTTTTATATACATATCACTCCGTACCCACCACCTCTTCAACCCAATATAGCCTCATATTCCAAAAAGCATGCTCAAGCGCTTCAAACACCGGCAAGCAATATGACCCAGCACCATCTACATATCCTTGTAGTACACCTCCAGAGTCCGCATGCTCAAGCGGACCTCCGAACAACAGCCACGGTTTCGATGGCAGCAACAATTCAAGATGTTTGCGCTCTGCGCCGGGGCAGAAGAGCATCGTGTTCGCTGTGATGTGCGAGAAGGCCTCTGGGTGTTTGATGACTGTTATATTCAGAGCTGCGAGGAGAGATTCATCTAGTATGTTGAAGACAGGGTCTTGGGCGTAGACTTTGAGATTGGAAGTGGTGCCTGTGATGCGGATGTGTTGTTAGCGTGGGATATCTTGAAAATGCGATAGTCGGTAGTGGAAGTGGAGAAGATCAAAGTTAATCTAAGATATAACTAGCCTAACCAAGGCAAGAAAGCCAAATCCAAAAAGATCGGGAAACGAACAGGCAACTTGATCCTTTATACTTGCCAATGCAGCAAGCTGATAAAGCGACACAGAGCGCCGATCAACCCATCCATCACGCAGGAACCCACTCGGGCTCCCAAGCCCGATGCAGACAATGGAGTCAACAGGGCAAAGGCTTGGAGGCGATAAAGTAGGGTCAGCCTGTTCCTGGGCCTTCTTCAGCCGTTCATCCAAAACGCCCGTCAACTTAGTCCAACTCTCCGAAGCCTCCCACCTCTCACGATGGGTTTGGAACTGCGCCTGCAGGTCGGACAACGTGAGTCGACCCGGTGCCTCTGCTGGGGTCAGGATGGGTTCTTCGGGTTGGCCAGAGGATACCCCCGACTCCAATTCCTTGATTGCAGTTGTGCCTTGCGGACGTGTGCGCATTACGCGCCGCACGTTGCCGCCGCTCGCGACATGAGTCCAGCCATCGTCGTCGGTCACTTGGGTTCGTTTTTGGGTTTGTTGTTTTCGACGGGAAGGGTGGGATGTATGGGGCATATTTTATATACGTATAATTATATAAATCTGGATATTCCAAGGTTGTATATGTATTGGATTTATTGAAGCTTTTTTGTATTTTTTTTGGAGATGCGGGGGAAAATGCTTGGCGGCACTCCAAAAGGCTTACTAAGTGAACTGGCTGGAGGAGTATAGTTAACCATTCCAAGACAAGGTTAGGGTGAGATAGAGCTACATATTCGCATGAAAAAGAGTGAAATGCTTTGCAGGAAAACAATATCCAACATTTCAAAACTTATCCTCTCAGCACACTCGCACATTCCTGTAAGCGCTCAAGTTGTTTCCCCGAACGTTAGCGTCCCTCCTCGGCGCTTCCACCGCTGGTCGTTCAGCAAATCATCGTGCAGCATCACCCTTTAGGTGATGGCACTTGCAGCGGGTTGTGATGATCCTAGGCTACCCTTGCTCTTCATCACCATCCGGAGCCAGTCACAGATGCCTCGCCATGCAGTCTCGGTCACATCTGCTTTCCAGGGTTCTGACTCGTCCGCCCTAGTGAAGGCCCGGTACCCCTCAAAAAGACCATACAGCCCTCGAAAATCATGGCTTGGTCTTGGTCTTGGAGTTCTATGATTTTGGTGTCCATTTTGCCAATACCGTTGTCCTCCCTCTCCTACCTGCTTTATTTATCCTGCGATCGGAGAAGTTGAATCCAAGTCTCATTCAGCGACAGCTGAATAATTCCTGTTCAACTCTTGCAACTTGTCACCGTCGCTGTCGTATCTCACCATGAGCTTCACACAATCCATATCACGATGGGCTTCCGTCCTACTCCTGCTGTGTTTGGGACTGGCGCACGCTCACACCGTCATCACGTACCCTGGTTATCGAGGAAATAACCTCCACACCAACGGCACCGTCCAGCAAGCTAATGGTCTTGGTGTTTCCTACGATGTCAAGAACGGCTCATACATCTACCCATACGGCATGGAGTGGATTTATCCCTGTAAGAAAAAACCTATCCGCTCGTCCTTATACATCAATCACTGACTCGAATTTTTCAAGGTGGTGGTATGCCCAGGTCGACCAACCGAACCAAGTGGCCCGTCAGCGGTGGTGCCGTCGCTTTCCAGCCGGGCTGGTTCCCAGGCCACGCCACTGCCCTGATCTATGTCAATCTCGGCTTCGGTGAAATCCCAGAAAACATGAGCCACCCGGTTGTCCCGCCCTTCCAGATCGTCGGCCCGACCAACAACCCTTACCCTGGTACCGTGTGTCTGCCCCAGGTGCCTCTGCCGGCCAATATCTCCGTCAGCCCGGGTGACTACGCCACAATTCAGCTAGTCGAGACAGCCAAGCACGGCGCTGCGCTATTCAATGTATGTCCCCAGGCCCCCTTCTTATTTCCGATCCAGGAAGCCATGTACTGACTTGGCTCTAGTGCGTGGACATTGAGTTCGCAGAAGATGGCGATGCATCCGTTGAGGCGGTCACTCGCGACAATTGCTTCAATTCATCGGACATCTCTTTCGAGTACATGTACACCACCAGTTCAATCGGTTCGGGGGCGGCGATGCTACAGCCTCCGAAACTGTCGGCTGCGGCTGTCGTACCGCTGTTTCTGGCTGTCGCCTTCGGGTTGTACATGTAGATATGCTGAGCTTTCTTGATTGCATTTGTGTGCGCTCCTTGCTTTTGTCTTTCCTTTGCGCCATACCCCTGGTTTTCATTAATCTGTGACGCTTCAAAATCAGTGTTGATGATACTGCATGTCTATGTCTTTCTCAAATGGTCTGTCTAATCGACGTTTTGGGTCTTTTTGGCGTTTACTGGTGTTTGGGCTTTATCTCTCTAGCTCTACTGAACGAATATATATCTTTCCGATTTGACAATCTTGAGTAGGTTTCAACCTCGACATGCTCTTATTGTTTTGCTATTGAGCTCGTTCTATATAGCTTCCAACATTCATTGGACCGGTAGGTCGCTGTGTCCTATTGCTCAGTCAGATGACGGTATCTCAACTCCAAGGTCTGTAGTAGTTGGGTTTTGCGACGGTGAGCGCTTCCTTTCCAGGATGCGAAGATGACCTTACCTCCCCCAATATTAATTCATACAGTGGTACCCATCGAAAACAACTCACTCGAAGCAGCACTCGCCTCGACAAAAATCAAAAATCAGCTTGGTTTATCCAACCCACCTACTATGCCTCCTAACCTCCACCTATAGGGCCTCTCCAGGGTTACAAACATTCCTTCCGATCAATAATGTAGATATCTTCAAATATCATATTGCATATTAAATTGTATGAGTTATACTAACTAGTTATAGGGCGACTAATCTTCTAGCTTAGGCTTCTTGTACATGGTTATCGCCGAGGCCTACCTCATCTTATCTACATATGTGATGATATCAATACTGAAAGCACTGCCTTAATAGTATCCTGAAGTTTGAATTCAGACCTGTGTTTTCCAATATAAAAGAGTCTTGTGGGCGTTTTGTTGACGGTTCGAACCTTCCCGATTAGGACCGAGCGTATGTATACTGTGTGTATTAGATGTTTCATACATACATATGTACATTTTACCTAACTATTGTATTTTTGCCTTCTTTCGACAATATCTTATTCAAACAAAAAACTCCCGAACCTAATAAGGATTTTCGGGAGCAAAAATACGACCACTATGAGATTCGAACTCACAATCTCCCGATGACACTACTAAATAGGAGTCGGGTGCCTTAACCATTAGGCCAAGCGGCCAGTCCATGTGGATACCCTCCTATTAGCCATATTGACGGAAAGAGCCCATGAAATTGCAACTATAATAGAGATCTTAGAAATGAACCTTGGAAGTGCTGAGATAAACTAATTCTTTGTGAAACAACCTGTAAGACTAGATGTAAAAAGCAAGTCATAGCCAGTTCCAATGATTTCTACTTTCCGATGAAATAATGTCTTTGCTTGCGCAGAGAAAATAATGCAAACTCTACCAAGACCAGCATAACAGGCTTGTTATTCCTACCGCAACCTTTACTGATTTGACATGTAAAATATAACAGAAACATTAGGTAGATCATATTTTGTCTCTTGTGACCAGATCTATAATAAAAAAATTAAGTCTGAAAATAGCCAAAACGACACACAATCTCGTCCTGGCCTAATAAGGGGCCGAGGTTGATATAAAAGAACGTCAATAATACAGGGTGGGAAGGAAAAACGAGGGTATCATGGAAGCGAACAACTCCAATGGGCCACACCGGAAGATCAAAAAGAAACAGAAGGAAAGAAGAAGAAGAGTATGAGCGAGAGTGTAATACCCAGTTTTGGGGTTCGTGTTTTTCCCAAACAGCGAGAGGGCGAGAAAGGTGGAATACAGGGCACAACAAAGATAAAAAAAAGAAAAAAGGTGAGCCAGAAGAAGCAAACCAAGGGGCGTATATCAGTCATTAGAGATTAGATATTGTAGAAGATGGAGTCGACTTTTGAAGGAAAAACAACAGTAGCCATCGAGGCAACATGTCTTCCCTGGTAGAAAGGTGTGCAAAGGAGAAAGAAAATAAAAGAGGGAACCAAGAAGAATTAGAGCTGAAACGTGAAACAAGGCATCTGTTCAACCGTCTGACTCAGAAGCAAGGTTACAAGAACACAGTTCAGATTCGCGACATATGATCACGCGCGCAGACCGAATGCCTTCCGAAGAAGAGGAAATCGTTTCTTTCGTCCCGAGCCAGCAATCACGATGTCGCGCGCCGAAAGCCCATGATCATCGGGGTTCGTGACTTCAGAGGTGCTATCATTGTTCGGATCTGGTCCGCCGCGGGGCGCCTCGGGCTCCTTCGCAATCGGAGATGCACCGTGGGCGCCATTCCCATTGACAACGACGGTTCCATTTTGTACTGCGCCTGTTCCATATGTTATCGGCGCGGGATTCTGCGTTTGGGGAGCAGACGACGGGGCACTGTATGGCTGTTCTGCGACGAGCTGGATAGGCTCATCTTCCTTGGCGTTGTGGTGGAGGGGCCAAGCGTCTGGCCCTGTTGACTGACGTTTAGAATTTCTCTTCACCAGCTTGGACAAACGAGTCGGCTCTGGATTCCTGGCAGACACTGTGGTTGTTGTGGTGCCGTGGTTCCCATTCACCATGCGCTCGCCGCGTAATTGATCGAATTCCGGACGCGACCGCTCTAGGGGACTCTGGGCGTCAGCTTCGCGAACTCCCTGATCCGAGTTCTTGGGTTTTTTGATCCTAAGGCGGGTGAGAAGTCCCTGCTTCCGACCATGGGGAGGCGCCATGATGAACTCCTCCAAGTCTCGCTGCGACATGCCACGTTGTTTGGCCACAGCTGCCATTCCAGACATATCTGGTGCGTTCTTTCCGCGGGAACTGGATGAAGAGAGCACTGGCTTGGATGCAAGCACTGAATGTGCTTGCTGCCGAGCGCTCTCTTCTGAGCTATCTTCCAACTCTGTCGAGTCACCGTCGTCAGCACCTTGGCGGCGGGGGATACCGCGAACAGGGCGTAACTTATTACTTCTAGGCTCATCTTCATCGCTAGAATCTGCAAACCGACTAGTGAAGACATGAGGCCGGGCTTCATCCTCGCCATCTGAATTTGCAAAGCGAGTCGCGCGCGCCGACTTAGCGGGTGCCTTGGTGAACTTCGCTCTCGGAGGTGCCTTCTTGTTTGTTGAAAAGAACGAATATCGCTCACCTCCAGTGGGTCCTCGGAGAGTCTTGCGCATTGTGCCATTCGAGGAGCCAGATGAAAGAGGACGATGTTCAAGGGGAGACTCGTTGCGCTCTGTTGGAGATTGGACTCGAACATTAGGACCAGAAGCACCGGATCTCATCGTCCGTCGCATGGAGTGGGTATCTGCACGCGGAGAAGAGCGTTTGAAGCTGCTTGTGGAATCACTTCCATTCGACGATTTCCGGCGGAGAGTGCTAGGGATACCTGTCTGTCCTCCTGGATTGTGGAAAACCGGGCCAAGAGACAGTGGACGCGGTTTGGCCTTGCTACCTCGCGAAGAAGCATCATTGCTGGACCACCGGGGATCCTCCATATGAGACGCGCCATTCACGTTTACCGACATAGGGCGGGTTCGCATGGTGGGCTGTGTCTGGACGCTGCTATTTTGGGCAGCCGCATTACGAGTTTGCAACTGAATTGGCACTGGCGGGTATGCGGAACTAAACATATGGTCAACCGAAGAGGCAGGGGATTCCTCTACAAGGCGGTCGACAGTGCCTTGAGTCGGTGTCATGGAGCGCTCCTCAAGTGATTGACCAGTCACATTTTGTGACTGATTATCCACCATGGGGGCTCTATCGATAGGCCTCGGTGTTACATCCCGGGATTCACTCGCAATCTCCTCAGTCGGGGCGGACCTAGGGGCTGACCGGCTATCGACAATGGCATTGATGGATCCAAACCCATCCCCATCCATGTCTTCCGCTGCATCGCTGTAGACGCTATCACCAGACTCCTCCTCTGTATCCACGTCGTCCAGCGTTGGAACGGCGCTTGCCACGGCCTGTGTGCTAGTAGTCTTCTTCGCAGTCGAATCGAGAGTGCGATCTGAGCTGGAGCGCGGGAACCCGCCCGGAATCCTATACTGGTCCATGCTAGATCTCTTCATGTCGAAACTTTGTGTGGTTCCGTCTGCTGGGGGTGTAGCAGGCTCGACAGCAATAGTAGGCACAGATAATTTCGAGCCCATGCTAGAATATGGCTGTTTCTCAGTTGTATCATCGGCGACTCCAGCTTCTCGTTTGGCCTCTGGGCTAGTATCCGAATGCGAAGTGTGCAGACTGCCATTTATGGATAACTGCTCTAGAGCCCCCAAACCGCGTGGTTGGAAGTATTCATTCGAGAGCGACATCTCCTGGCTAGGCGCCACCTCAGATGCAGACGAAGAACTGGACTCATTGTCACTAAAATCTGGGATTGGCGACCTTTTGAGGGCACCACCGCCTCGGCTCCCCCGAATGCTTCCGAAAGAAGGAAGAACTTGTCGGGGTTTGATGACTACATCCCAGTCATCGTCACTCGCAAACTCCGCTGGCGACTTCTTCTTCTCAGCACTAAGCCAACTCATACGAGGCTTGGCTTTACCACCGGGCGGAGAATCAGGTGTATATTCTTCTGGCGAGGTAGGAGGGCTGGCTACTGGATTGACGACTTCAGCCTCATCATCGAAACTGACCTTAACAGACTTCTTTCTAGTGTCAACTCGAGATCCTTCATCCGAGGCCACTGAGGTACCATCTGATAGTTCATTCGATGGCAGAGCTCGACCGGTTGCCCCAACCCTCCTATCAGGCGATAAAGAGCTTCCCCTTGGGTGTTTCAAAGCCGATTTGGCAGGAGATACTGATCTGGGTGGAGGCTGGTGAACTTGATCACCGGCTCCAGCTACAGAGAGCAATCTGGAAAAACGGGCAGTTCTACCTAGGCTGCTCGACTGACAGTTTGGCGGCTGCCCTATTTGCAGTTCCGAAGAGGGTGATGAGGGCACTGGTGCTGCCTCTACGTGATCAGCAGTTGGCGATGCATTCGTCGTTCGGTGTCTGCCTTGTCGTATAGGGATATCTTGAACAATTGTATCGTCATCTTCGGCCTCCTCCTCTTCTTCTTGAACAGTGGATGGCCACCGCTTAGGAAGAGCTCGGGAGGATGGGTGTTCACTTTCCACGCTGGCCACAACAGACCTAGCGTCACCGGTATATTGGTCTAGAGGATCGGATTCTATAAGCGAATTTCGCACGTTCCCAGTCCGACCATTCGCACTTGGACTGTCCTTTGACACGCCAACCGCTAGGGCCGCAGCACCTGCGGCACCAGCCAAAGAACCAGATTTGTTTGCAATGGGGCTTTCTTCTAGGATGCCAGATGGTTGTGCCCTAGGTTTCCCTTTTGGAAATTTGTCAGATACCTCAGCAATCGATTCTTGAATAGCATCATGGAGGCTCATCGGATTATCCTCAGGCATTGCAATCGGCGAGATAGGTCGCGAGCCCAAGGGGTACGAAAAATTCACTGAATTCCGACTCGCCGATCGTTCCAATTCTGGAACAGTCCCAAGACTAGTCACACGTTGATGTGTAGCTACCTGAATCGGAGATCCTCGCCCATGTTCCCGATCCACGCCCCTCATCCCAGAGCGCGGTGGAGACGATGGAGGTGAACGCATTGACGGCTCCATGCTCATCGCACGTCGGTTCGGCAGCTTCCGCTGCGAAAACTGCGTTGGGAGAGTAGGTAATGGAGGCACATTGGTAGGTATAGGCCCAGGCCCGACGGGCCCGGAGCTGGTAGCTGGGCGACGGGGGGACTGATCGCGAAAGGTGCGTGCGCTCATCGAACTATTGCTACTGGAGCGATGCAGCGTCCCACCTACGCTGGCTGAACGGCGACCGCTAACGGGATTAACCTGCGACTGGGTCGAGCTCCGCCGCTGGACCATGCGCTTTGTCTGGACATTTTCAATGGGGGTCGGGGTAGGTGTGCAGTTGCGGAGTGCAGCTGCAGCTGCCGCGGAGGACAAGCTGGTTGTGGAGGGTTGGGATTTTAGGAAAGCATGGCTGGCGGCAGACTGGGCGGAATGCGCGGCGGGTGTGGAGAGTGGCTAGAAGGAAGGGGGGCTGTCAGTTTCATTTTCATGCATAGGTTGCAGGTACCCGTTGGATTGCATCAAGTGCTGCAACGGGACCCATTCACAGATAGGGAGATCTGCTATCTTTGGTATTCGATGCGCGGAACACACCTGGTGATGGGCAGAGGCACTTCTCTTGCGACGACCGAAGACCATTGTTCAGAGTCTTGGGCCTTTTTAGGGACTGGAATGGATCAAAGACCGGATGGCCGGTCACTGCTTAGTGCAGCGCCGAGATCCGAAATTGAAGTGGATGAAAGGTGGATCTCCAAATGATGATGCGATGGGGTAGCTATAGGAAGAAGTAGAAACTGGGAAATTAAGAAGTTGAGGGGGAGCAACTCGGGAGGGATCGACCAAGTCAGGACCAGTCAAAAACAAGGAGATATGAAGGCAATGTCAGGCAAGGAGAGCTGGAAAAAAGGGAAAAAGCAGGTTCAAAAAGAAAAAAAAGATCAAAACTGATCGAAGCAGATCCAGGCAGATCCGAGATCGAGAGGAACTTGCGTCATGACTTTGGGTCAGGCACAACAACTTGGTTTACCGCCTGGACTTTTTATGCATTGCTTATGTCAGCCTTATACTTGGGGTATTACTCTACGTATAGTTAACTACAACATATAACTATGTAGAAGGATGCAGATAGTATTAAGCTATTATTCAAAGCAAATCTAGCGCTGAATTGTTGCCAATTCTCCCTTATTACTCTGAACTATGTCTATTATTAGGACATTATAACCTTTCGAATCCGCTAACTTCATAGCCCATATCGGGTGAATATAAAGCCTAATATTTAACAACCCGTGCCTTTAAACCACCATTACGCCATTCTAGGTCACTATGTTTGTATATTATCTTATTACAGCATAGCTTTAGAGTCTTAAATTTAGTTCAGAAGAAAATTGGGTTGGAATGAATATAAATGAGTGGCTATGGGGGTAGTGATATACAACGCGTTAATTAACGCGACCGACTTAAATAGATAACCTCGGTATGTTATGTCACTATATGTAGAGATCGCTTCCTATTGCGTTCTTACATTTCCCCATATATCCCACATATTGCATCAAGATCCCGATACCAACAATGGCCTTCCAACCCCTCCCCCTCCCCGCAGGCATAACGAGCCGTCACATCCAAACCACCGATCTAAACATCCACATCCTGGAAGCCGGCTACACCCCAGCAAACAACAAACCATTGATAGTCCTCCTCCACGGCTTCCCAGAAATTGCCTACTCATGGCGCCGCGTGCTCCCCAAACTAGCAGCAGCAGGCTTCCACGTCGTAGCCCCAGACCAGCGCGGCTTCGGCCGCACCATAGGTTGGGACACACGCAGCTACGAGGATGTCGACCTGGGAACCTTCTCGCTATCTAGCCTGGTGCGGGATATTGTACTCCTTGTGCACGCGCTGGGCTACCGTTCCGTGCGGTGCGTCGCCGGCCACGACTGCGGCGCTGTATCAGCAGCCATGTGCGCCCTAATGCGGCCGGATTTCTTCCAGAGCGTTGCGCTCATGAGTCATCCGTTTAACGGGGCCCCGGATTTACCATTTAATACGGCGAATGCGGATGTCCCGGCTGGGTCTGATATGGCGGCTGCAGGTGGGGCTGGCGGTGCCGAGGGGTCGGCTGCTGCCGCGGGGATTCATGGGGCGCTTGCGGAGCTCGGCCGTAAGCACTATAAGTGGTATTACTCGACTAAGCAAGCTGGGCCTGAGATGTCAGATCTGGGACCTGAGGAGATGCATCGCTTCTTGCGGGGATACTTCCATCTGAAGAGTGGTTCGTGGTCGGGGAACCAGCCGCATCCGCTGGGGAAGTGGTCTGCGGCCGACTTGATTGAGCTACCTGGGTATTATATCATGCCGTTGAATGAGACTATGCCTGCAACGGTGATGCGCGATATGGCACATGAGCCGTCTGACGGTCTGACCTCGCACTCGTGGCTGCCAGATGAGGAACTCGCTGTTTATGCGGGCGAGTATGGGCGCACGGGCTTCTATGGCGGGCTGAATTGGTATCGTGTTCGCACCGCGGCTGGGGGGCGGTATACGAAGGACTTTGATATCTTTGCCGGGAAAAAGCTAGAGCCGCCTTGTGCTTATGTCTCGGGTAAGCTGGACTGGGGTAATTATCAGGAGCCTGGTGCTATCGAGAAGATGAAGAACGGGTTGTCATGCGCTGACCTACGTATCTTCCGGCTTGTGGATGGGGCTGGGCATTGGACGCCCCAGGAAAGTCCGGAGGAGGTTGCACGGGCGATTCTAGATCTGATCGGAGGTCTACGCGACTAGGTTTTTAATTGATGTTATTGGATACAAATTGCGGAACTGAATTGTGGAATAATGTTTTGGAAAGACATGAGAGCGGTATTGTGAGAGTTGATATAATGGGACTATGATCTGAATGAACTAAACACATTGCATTTGCGTTCACCGATTAGGTGGGATAGAGGTAACCTTGGAAGGTTTACAAAATTAACGCTGGCATCATCATCGAATTGAAGTTGAAGACCAACAACTTTGGGCAAATCGGAAGGAGTGTCGACTGATGTCCTCGCATCTTCATATTACATGAGTCTCTCGCTCCGCGGGGGCCATATAACTTCCACACTATACGAATATATTCTTAAAACTAGTACTCCGTATTACATATCTCCAATCTTGGGTACTAAAATTTCAAACCCCATGTTAGATAGAATATGAGATTACTTGTCGTAGACAACAATGGTGGTCGGTCAGACAAAAATGGATTGAATTGGATACTTGCTTATATCAACATTGGTAACCACCTGGGCAGTGATAGATGGTCACAGCTACTAAATTTCAACCAGAGAATGGAAACATCCGGAATTCTTAGTGTGCGCATGCGATCGGGGTGCTCTTTTCTTGGCCACTCGCTTAGCAGGTGTTGCACTATGTCGGGGGATAGAAGCAAGGCTATTGGCGTATTTTGCAACAGCGAAAGCCGTAGCCTTCGAGTTAATCAAGAATGCCTCGTGATTGAGATTCTTGAAGTTATCCCCGACAGCATGATAATTCACATCGTATGATACATTTGCTTGGCCTCCGAATAGCTTCGCCTGTGCTTCGGTCTTGACGCCTTCAGCACCAGTGAAAACCCCACCAGCGGGAATTCCACGAGAGATGAAACCGTCGTAGTCGGATCGGCCATCGAACTCAGTTGGAATATACGACAGCTTTTTGGATTTGAAGTAGTTCTCAAACAAAGCCTCGATCTGGGCAGAACCCGCTGGCCCAGTCTGGTTAAAGGCATCTCCGTCACCATCATAGATCATGAGTGCGTAGTTGGGGGAGGCAATCATATCGAAGTTGAGGTAAAGTCTGATTTTCGCCAGTTCGTCAGCACTCAGGTGCGAGGTGTAGTACTCGCTACCCAACAGACCGAACTCCTCTGCCGTCCAGAAGAAGAATCGCACGGCATTCTTGACAGAGTATCGCGTCAACGCTTTTGCTACCACGAGGTTGCTGATAATTCCAGAGCCATCATCGTTGATGCCCGGGCCGGCCTCGACAGAGTCGGTGTGACCTCCCAGTGAGACGACGTTGTTGTGATCGCCGCCTTTCGTCTCTGCAATCACGTTGAATGTAGTGCGGTTCTCAATTCTACTATCTATCTCAAGGTCCAAAGTCACGGCACCCTTTGCTACCGCACTGAGTAGGGCCTTGCCGTCGACATCTGAAATTCCAGCAATGGCGGAATAAGGGCCAAGGTCACTAGATACTCCACCTAGAGTTCCACTAACAGACCCTGCCTCATTGTTATAGATAAGTACCGCAGCTGCCTTGGCTGCAGCAGCCAGCACCGACTTTTGTCCGAAAGAACATTCTCCACGCTTGACTAGGGCAATTCCACCAGCCACGTCACTCGGGTAGTCTGATGCCTCGCATCCGAGGTTCGAGACCACTGCCAGCCCGGCGGTAACATCAACGCTGGGACTGTATGTCATGGCGGACGCTTTGATGTCCTCTCCATCGAGCGTTAGCGTGGTCTTTGCAGTAGTCCATGTGTGCACCTGTGGCTGCTTCCACACATTATAATAGCCGGTCTTCTTCAACTCGCGATAGATGAAGTCAACGGTATCATTATGTGCTGCACTGCCAAACACACGATTACGCTCGGGATACGCATAAGCGAAGTCCTCAAGCTGTTGGGTGCCCTTCAGGAGGTCTTTCAACCGAATCGTAGAGGGAAAGTCGTCCTAATAAGTCAGACCACCTGATAACGAGGTGGAGATACACCATGCATACATACCGGTGAAACCAGGGGCTTCCTTCGACCAGCTTCAGCTAAGGCCAAGGACAGGTGGGTTATCAACAAAAGCCACTTCATTGTTAAGGAACGCGCGAATAGGTAGCTATTCCAAACCAAGAGCAAGAAACGGTGTTCTTATACCTATTTTTTGTATTGTTAGTGATCATCACGCGATGATAAAGCGCAATGGTGCGTGATTGGTAGGGCCCCGAGGGGTATGCCAAGAGGCTGGCTTGCTTCACTTGGCATAAGAGGAAGCAATTATCATAGGGCCGGCTATTGTCATGCAGGCGGAACCCCGACGGCACTTGTTAACATGAAGGCTGAGGTTACAGTGCCAAGGCATTGCAAGCGGGATAGTAGGGATGGATAACATTGTTGCGGGGGGTTGCGTCCATTGTCCAGCGCCATGAACCTTAACGACTAATCATTTAGTCCATATTCGCAACATAGTATTTGCCATAATCCCTTGGTTTGATCGAATTTGTATCTTGATTATATCCAAAAGGTGGTGGGCCAAGTTAGATAACTGCTTATCAGAGATCAGTAAAGCAAAAAGAAAGACGACAATACCCAGTCCTTCCATCGCCCTTCTTGGCTTTACTTATGCTGCTGTAGCTACGCTGGACCTCTGCTCAGAAGTATCAGAGGCACCAGAGACGCCCAGTGACCTTATTTGGAGCTCGACCGATAAAGTATACACTATCACCGTAGGCCTAACCCTGTAGATGCTGGCGCAAATAATAATAGTTATTTCAATTAAGAGGATGAGTGTTTCTTGAAGTTAATGGAATAAAGCCTGGTTCGTAAAATGAAGAGATTTGGGCATGCGTCTCCAAATAATCCTCCAAGTGCTCGTGGTGCCATGTAATTGCGCGGTGCAGATCTCGCTGAATGACAAGAGCTGAGTCGAGGGTACTACTGATAGCTCTGGTAGCACTGTCGCCAAGTATTTGATTGGCCTATTTCTCACCCTTCCCAGAGTATAAGGTATAAATGTGATGACGAACGTCCACAATCCTGAGTTAAAGATAGATTCCTCTTTTTTGTTGTCATTCTCAGCTCTCCACATAGCTCTCCTCCCATTTGCCTGGGTTTATCTTTGAATGTTGGAAAATACACAGCAGAGATCCTCCAGCAAGTCCATAAGAATGAGTTGAAAATCCTCGATGTCCCCTCGAAGTGCGGCATCCTTACCAAAGAGGACCTCGCGGTTGCTGAACTTCCTGAAGCAACTTCGCTTCACGACAAGCTCGCCACTCAAGAGTTCGGTACCATCGAAGTGACCACTGCCTTTTGCAAGCGCGCCCCCATTGCGCTACAGTTGACTTCACGCTTGGCGGAGACCGTGTTCTCGGAGGCCCTCGTTAGAGCGGAAGAGCTAGACGCACATACCAAGACTACTGGAAAACCTGTCGGCCCACTTTACGGTATCCCAATTAGTTTGAAGGAAACCTTCAATATCAATGATGTGCCGACTTCTCTCGGATTTGCATCTTTCTTGGGTCACGAGGCCGTCACTCAGAACTCTGTCTTGGTCGATATCATTATGGAAACAGGCGTCATTCTGTACGTGAAGACCAACATGCCTCAGACAATACCGACAGACTCGCACAACAATGTTTTTGGACGTGTGCAGAACCCACACCGAAACACAACACCCTCACGGCCGGCGGCAGCAGTGGAGACGAAGCAGTTATGGTAGCCATGCGTGGATCTATCGTTGGACTTGGCACTGATATTGCCGGTTCGATTCGCATCCCATCACTGTGTTGTGGTACCGTGCGCTTCAAACCTAGTGTTGGTCGCGTGCCATATACTGGACAAACGAGCGCAGACAGGAAGACAAGGCATGCCCAGGATTGCTCCAGTCTTAGGACCAATCTGCCACTCTATTCGCGACGCGGATATGCTTCTCCGTTTAGATTTGAAACATAAATGTAGAGACAATTGAGGTTAGCGAATGGGAAGCGGTGCCTGGAGACACCCCGAGGACAACCATGGTTGTGAAATATATATCCGAGGATCTGTGATAACTACACTTTCACCTCAACAATGGTGAAAGAGAACAAGAGTATTGTTCAAAATGATCATATTTTAATTTCAAGGACATCTGGAACATTAAAGGTAACATACGTGAAAAACCTGATCCTCGCCAAGCCAATAATACATGCAGAATGGGGTTCTACCCAACATCAATATGAGCCAGAAAAGGAAAAGTGGAACTAAGTGAAGACATGGGCCTAATTTCTGCATTATGAGCTAGTTACAAGGAAGTCAAGGCTAATTGAATACGGATAAATCCATTCAAGTTTTCACCAGCACACAAAAAGTTGCATACATGAGATCGTAATACAAAAGAAAATTAAATCACACAAGCAAAAAGGAAAAGAAACAAATAACTATTTCATCACACCATGGATGAGGGACAAGCGTATCCAGACCCCCTTCTAGGAGAAACCCAGGAAAAAAATAAAAACAATTTACAGACGGGAGCCGTGGATGACCTTGTAGTCGACGACGAGCTCACGGCCACCGTCGTTGATGACGAGAGCACGGACGGAACCGCGGCCGTCAGCGAAAGCACCGCTGATGCGCTTGAAGAGGTTGCCCTGGGTAATGACATTGAGACCCTGCTTGACATCACCGCTCTCGGTCATGGCGACGAGACGGTTGTCATCACGGAGGTCCAGGATGCGGTAGGTCTTGAAGACGGGACCGAGCATGGTCTGGACAACCACGGAGGGAGAGGGGTTGGCGACGAAGCTGGACTCCTCCTGCAGCTTGCGGGTGAAGAGGTCGACACCGAGGTAACGGTGCTGGCCGGTCTGGGGGGAGACCGAGATGCGGATCACCTGGCAAGGACGGCCCTGAAGGATCAGGATGTCGCCGACACGGATGAAGTGGCAGGGGATGGGGACAGTCTCGCCAGCGGAGCCACGGTTGCGGGGCTCAACGACGCGGACGTTCTCACGGGGGAGCAACGACCTCACCGGCGTGAGACTCCTCATGCTCGGAGTGGGAGAAGGGGTGCATGACACGGTCGGCGGCACGCTCAACGCCACGGCGGAAGGAGTGGTACTGGCCTTCGTCGTCGTAGTAACCCATTTTGCGAGTGGGGGCGGTGTCACGGGTAGTGGACTGAGGAACGTTTACTTGGGTCGGGGTGGAGTAACGAGCACGGGGCTGAACTTCACTAAGGTAGACGTCGTCTTCCTTGTAAGAGTCGGTCTGGGGTTGGGAAATCCGGTCGTACGAGACGTCGGCGGACTGGGCTTGGTAACCGTAGGCGGAGTCTACGGGTTGACGATAACGACGGTCGTAAGAGACGTCGAGGTCGTAAGAGGGAGAGGTACGCTGACGGTAGTCTCTTTCAGTGAGGTCGATTTGACTTTCGACGACTTTATCGTAGACTTGAGTACGGTCTTCGTAGTCGACAGAAGGTTGTTGGTAACTGGGGTAGCTAGAAAAGGTGTCAGCCCACATGCACGGGTACCATAAACATATAAACAAAACAAGCCAGTCACCGCTAATTGAAGTGGATCAGGTTTTGATGACACGTAATTTTAGTCCCCGACCAAATCCGTAATCGATCTAAACCAAGATAGGAGATCTCACAACAAATAACTGATAGTTCAGCTGCAGGTCTCCACTTTCACAAGTGGAGACGCTGGAGGTTGGGGGGTGAAAAAAACAAAAAAGACACGAAACAAAACAAATACCGAGGGAAATACAATTACATACCGTTCACGAGTAAGCTCAACTTCAGGGGCGTAGTTGGGCGAGGGCTGGTGAGAAGGCTGGAACTGCTGGTACTGCTGAGAGTGCGATTCCGAGTACTGCTGCGATTCCTGCGATTGCTGAGATTGCTGCTGGTACTGAGGGTGCTGCTGGTACTGAGAGTGCTCTTCTTGAATGCGCGGACGCTCTTCTTGAATGCGAAACTCGGCTTCTTCCTTTCTGTGAACAGGAGCGGGAAGGGGAGCAGAACCTCGAGTATCTTCCCGTTCGACGCGCGAAGTACGATCGAAATTGACTTCTCCCTCTACTCTAGTCTGAGTAGTTTCAGAGACAGCGTCACTCCGGTACGACGACGGGAAGACACTGAAGGGGATTGGAACACGGGCGTCAAAGTCCAGATTGACGGACTTTTGAGCGTCTTTTCTCGAATGCCTTTCGAACTGTCGTTAAACAACTCGAAAGACTAAACAAGAAAAGACTTGAAAGGGAAGTCTTTCTCGAAGTGTGGGGAGAGGAGAAAAAGAGAAGATCTTTTTATCCTGCAGATAGATAGATGATTGGAATGGAGGGGAAAAAAGATAAGCTTAGATGAGAAGAATGTTAGATCGTAGGAATGGAAGAAGAAGAAGAAAGAGACCAGCGCAGTTGGCGAGCATTACGATTATTTATGCCAGACCCTTTGTTTACGCCGCCTTGCCGGTTTGGGTTCTCCGCTGATCACCGAGGTTCCCTCTTCTCCTTACTGTCTTTCTATGGTAATTGAATTGACCTATTAGATTTATACAATATGTTTGATTGGATTCTCTTCTTTCTTGTTCGAGTTAAATCACTCTAAACCCTCCAGGAATGCAATTCCATAGATGGATACCGATACCCCGAACTCTGCAATACACCGTGCCTTTCACATGGGGGGCTGGCCAGCCTGCGCGTATTGTCACCGCGCCACCGACACCATCACCATAGCAACCTCCGGGTCGAATCGGACATCTGGATCCCCTTGGCGCCGATCTTGTTTGTCTCCATCACATCGGCACAATTGCATTGGGGTTGCGGAGACACGTTCACAGTGATTCCCTCGGCTTAAGAAGTGTCCTTTTGTTTTAATATTGCCATTCGGCACTTGTAGCCAGCCATTGGCCTATATCTGACACGATTCACATCTGAACACGTTACAGCATACGCGGCAGTGATACCAATACCAATACTCCGTACTGACCAAATGCACTTCTCCACTGGAAAGTGATTCATCGAGATTATTGACCCTCTGTTGGGTCCCCAGCCCCGGCCCAACCCCTGTGAGGCGCCACCCAGCGCATGCAGCTCATGTCTAGACCGTCTTACAGCCAACGAGGCTGGGAAATGTGTTTCACCTAACGGTACGGAGTAATTTTCGTACATTTGTTTTCTCCATGAGACATTTGAAGAAGGTGATTACCGTGGTTTGAATCGAGTCACATCATTAGATTTCGTCCATTTGTCCAATGGAGTGGTGATGTTGATTATCTTCCGTGTCGCCCCTTTTCACGGAGTACTCCGTTCACGGGTACCATGGTACAACCCTATGGGGCGGGAACCAATTGTCCACAAGATTAAGTGGACTTCCATTGAACTCCGTACATGCTGGTATAATTCAATTAGTGTAGATGCCCAAAAGGTAATACATATAAGAATAGTTATCTAGTGAGTACAGAGTATGTACTTTTCTCGACAACCAAGTCTAGCAGTCTCGTACTCCGTACAACATACTTATATTTCCAATTGTTCCACGTCCTTCAGGGCTACATCGGCTCCACTGTTCTTCTTCTTGTATTTATTGTGGTTCTCTCAGATCCCCACGGAATATGGAGTATAGGATCAGCAGACCTCTTTCTGGGGTCAATTGAGCTGTACATTTGTATTTATAGTGGGATTATTTTGAGATCGGATTATTTCTAACTATTGGTGGCTACGAGCTGTACTCCCCTATTTATATGATGTTGCCTTGAAAGTCATCATCAAGTACTCCCGTACGGAGTAACAACATTGCAATTTATTGTGAAACACTACTAGTATACCCAATTTCTTCTTGTCTCTACTGTTCACGGGGCTGTGCCATCTACCAAAATATTGTTGGGACAACTAACGTGAATACATATATAACTATCTTCTTGCGTGACAAACCTATATTCCTTGAGAAACTGCACTCGAAATAGCTGAATATCAAGGGCTTTGAGTGTTGCTGGTACACAGACACACCAAATGTAACGAGGCGCCGACGTTGCACTATGATAAATGCGTATAAATTCAATCATTGTGCGAGAAGTCCCCGACATATTCGTCGATTGCTTTTCAAGTTATAGGATCTGATGGACAGTACCAAGAGACAAGAGCCACGGAGTTTCCGGGTTGTTGCGCTCGATGCATAGCTTGTATAATAAGCTTTTGCCTTTGAAGTATTTCGGAGCCTGCGCGGTGTGACAATGGAATCTTGATATTGGAAGGCTTAGGTGTCTGGCGATGAAGGCTCTACATATAATTTCTACGATACAACAATGATATAACTAGTTACATAACTAGTTACTTCTTTTTGTTATTAACAAAGCGAGCAACTATCCACTTATATAACTAACCCAAACTAGTTATAATGGAGAGTTGTGGCCCCCGAATCGCTGGATGTGTCCGGTTCACTGGAATAGCTCCGCGATACCTATTATATCTCGCCCCTCTATGAGAATGGACTGCGTTGGCTTGGGGGAAAAATAAACAACCACCCCGCTATAGTTTTCCCGTGATTGGACTATTGCACCTAGTTAGTCAGTGGAGTGAGTCTCATAATTGGACATGGTTACATACTACCGAGCAAAGGCACTCGCACCTGTAGCAACTGCGGTTACAAACCCTGAAAGCACAATCCAAAAGCCATTAAGATAGTTGTCGACTACACAGTTGACAGCAGTTTAGTTTCTGATCGTGCAATCCCCGCGC